GTAAGGACGGCTCGTCGGTAGACTCTAAGAAGCTTTAAGAAGCCCAGGAAGAGCCACAGATATTCCATCCAATCACTGCTAAGGGAATGTTGACGTGTAGCTTCCCCATTGGATGGATTAGCATGACCCCTATGTGCCTATTGGTTGACCTAAATGATGATTTACATTCAGCCAAAAATCTATAAATACACGAGATTTCTGTGCTATATTTTGACACTGATTTGGGGAATAAACTTCCTACTTACCAGTCTTTGTTTTCTCTCTTTTGTGACGTTGCGGGTTCTATCGTTCAAGTAGTCGAGTATTTTATTATTTATTTAAACACATATATATTGGTACAAAAGGGCACCAGGTACATATGCGCCACACAAAATAATGAAAGTAGGAAGAGAAGGGATGAAAAGATAAGGCGGACTAAAATGTACAACCAGAAGACACTTTCAAATAGGAAAGTAAGAAACATACTTCATGTAGAAAGTAAAAGAAGGTTGCAGCAGGATCGCCACTGGCTTCTATTCTGAGCCATATCCGATAACGTCTCTAGCCACTGTGTTGCACTATCTCTCGGACCCCAGCCAGGGAGTCGTGAAGGACCAACAGAAGCTAGCCCTTTGCAGCTCTCTTTCATGCCACGACACCATGTCATACACTGACCTCCTCTCCGCTTTTTACAACCAGTCCCAGGGTCGGCAAATAATGCACGACGTGGAAGTCTCTGGGACGACATTCGTAAAACATGTCCAAGCCACCGAAGTCGGTGTTTCAAGATGGTCACACCAATTGAAATATCGTCTCTGCGCCCCAACACACGATGCCGAACCTCTGCATTACTAACATGGTGTTGCCACTGGATGTCAGCAATCCTTCGGCGACAACGATGATCGAACACAGAGAGACGTCTAACATCCTCAACTCGGAGAGGCCAGGTTTCACAAGCATAGAGCAAAACTGCTCTCACCGACGCGTTGTAAATCCGACCTTTTACAGCCAGACTAACATCACGAAGGCGCCAAAGATGGCCCAGATTGGCATAAGCCGATCTGGCTTTCATTATACGTGCATCAACCTCATCACTCACGCCACCACCAGCACTTATGCAGCTGCCTATATACACGAACTTCTCAACTACTTCAATCTGCCCACCATCCAGAGTGAGTACAGGATGAGAATCCTGCCAGTCTTGTAGAAGTACTTCGCACTTGGAGGGTGCAAAGCACATGCCGTACCTGCGGACACTGATTGCCAACTGATTAAGTGCTGATTGCGTGCCTTGGGCATTATCGCACAGTAAGACAATATCATCCGCATACTCAAGGTCGAGAAGTCGTTCTCCAGGCAACATATCCACACCGCCATTACTTACATCCATCAGAGCTGTTTCTAGGATGTCGTCGATGGCAAAGTTGAAGAGGAATGGTGAGATCGGGCAACCCTGCCTAACCCAACTGCTCGAATGGAACAAGGGAGAAAGGTGGTTGTATGCCCTCACTCTGCCTGAGGTGTTCGTATACAGGGCCTTTAAGATGTTAATGAACTTCTCAGGCACACCCTTCTTCAATAGACAATCCCAGAGAACAGTCCTGTCCAACGAATCGAAGGCCGCCCTGATGTCAAGAAACACTACGATTGTTGGCCTGCGATAAGTATGACGGTGTTCTAACATTTGGCGGAGGGTGAAGATGTGATCAATGCATCCTCGACCAGAACGAAAACCAGCCTGCTCCTCGCGAGTCAATCGTTCTCGGGTTTTAAACAACCTACGAAGAATGATAGAAGCCAATAGTTTGGACGCAATCGGAAGTAGACTTATCCCCCGATAGTTGTTACAGGAACAACGTGAACCCTTTTTGAAGATAGGGACAACTATTGACTCATTCCATGATGTTGGAACACTTTCTTGCTCCCAAACCTTTCCAAACAACACAGTCAGTTCCTTAGCCAGAAAGTCACCACCATCTTTAAAAAGAGCCGGAGGTAAGTCATCTGGGCCCGGTGATTCGTAACGTTTCAAGAGTTGGAGTTCCTTGCGGACTTCCGCCTCGTTTGATGGATCAGTCGTCACCGGCCATGGGGAGCAGGACAAGCTGGTTAATGTTGCCGGAGCAACAGGCCAGTTGAACTGCCCTTCGAAAAATTCCGCCCATCGTCCAAGACGTCGACAGATGTTAGTGATTGGCATCCCGTCATCCTCGTAGATTGTTTCACTCACACCAGACTTCTTGCTGCCAGTGGCTCGGATGAGTTGGAAGAGCTTCCGGCAGTTACCAGATGCAGCTGCTGCTTCCATCTCATTAGCACGCTCCGACCACCAGGCTCCTCGGTCCTTACGCAAGCTTTGCCCGATTTCATTACGTAACAGCCTTCGTTTGTGGTCAAACTCACGGTCACCCGGAGTAGACCGACGGGCTTCCATCAGTTGTAAGGAGCCAGAAGAAACCCACTACTTGTAAGCGGGACAATTCGCGAAGCCGCAAGCGGCTTTACTCGCCATTTTCATGGCCTCGTGAAGATACAACCAATGCTCATCTATACTTTTCGGTGGGATGGTAGCTAGCCTAGAAGCTAGCTCCGCTCGATACATACTTGCAAGAGAAGTTGCAGCCAGTTTACTAACATCGATCCGTTGGTGGTGGTCAATCCTTCGGCCACTGAAAAGTAAGGTGAGATTGGCGCAGACCAGGGCATGATCAGACTCCAGATAGGTACTCCAAAACGAGCGGCAGTCTTGTACACAACCACGCCAGCGGTAGCTGATCGCGATGTGATCAATCTGAGTCCAGGCTTGAGATGCAGAGGGAGGACGCCAGGTGGCACACCGGCGATGACTGTGCCGGAAGTTAGTGCTGGCCAGAAACAGGTTGTGGTCTGTGCACAGTTGCAGCAAACGGTCCCCGTTATCTGTCCTGCGACCAACAAGTCCCCATCGGCCACCTAGACGACTCTCTTCTGTGCCTAGACGCCCGACCTGTGCATTCAAGTCTCCGGCTAGTACTACAATATCTGTCGAACGCGCTTTCTGGAGAAGAACTGTTAACTGGTGGTAAAACTCATCCTTGATTGCATCCGGGCTGCAATCTGTCGGGGCATAGGTGGAGATGACGAAAAGACACCGTTTCTCACGCCGGTTTCTTCTCACTTTGATGGAACTTTCTAATCTAACAGCACATAACCGACTGTTAATGGGGAACCAATCGATTAGTGCTTCCTCAGCCCTAGCGCTTAGTGCGACACCAACGCCTGCAAGACCAGACGAAGATGCCACAGGGTCCCCGGATAAGCGCACGTGGAACAAGCTTTTCGGGACAGATGGAGAGCGGATTTGTAGTACTTCACTAGAGTCTTGAATACGGGTCTCGGATAGACAGCAAACATCAACATTAAGACCTTCCAAAGACATAGCCAGCCCTATCTGTTGTCTGATCTGCATTAGTGTGCGAACGTTGAAGGAAGCCAGCTTGAACGGCGTACGTGGTTTCAGAAAGACTGCCTCAGTATTCATTATCGGTGGAAGCATTCACTTTCAACCAGACAGTGACTGGAGATCGTTTAGATAGGACAGATTTTCCACCAAGAGCGAGCTGATGCATAAGTTGAAGAGTAAGGTTACACAAATTGGGGGTAAAAGGGGGTGAATTAGCGATATGGTAAGTAACAATAATAATAATAATAGTAATAATAATAATAATAACGTAAATTGTCTTGCTTATAATATGAGCAGGAATAGAATCGTCAATAGAGTTCGTCATTTCATTCATTTGTGTGTGGGCTGTGATACTGCCCAGGTGCCCAAACCGAAGCAGGTGGTTTTCTTAGGGGGCCACACTTCGAGCCTTTGACCTAAAGGTCTGATCCACAAGGCAGTGGAGCATCGTGAGGAGATGCAGTTCCATGGTAGTCGTTGACCAATGACAGGTTCTTCCGCCATTTGTTCCATCAGGAAACTGGAGCCCATGTGCACCATTAGTTTGGAATCAGGGTTTTCCAACTCCCCTAGGTAGACTCGCTGTGTCCACCAACCCGGTTAAAGCGCCATACATTCGCTTTTCATTCTCTCAATTTCGTAGACAACAGTGATGCCACGAGAAGGCAGTGAGTAGGACTTCCATGGCAGAGGCTATATACGCGTGGCCATGTGAAAGCATTTGGAGAGGGAGAGCGTACTCTCCCCACTCTCGGCCTTACCAGGACACATTTGAGGGCAAATAAATTATCGAATTAGTTTTCATATTGTTCGGTCGAAATTGACATATTAACCTGTATTATCCAGCATTTACCTGATTCATCGAAGTATCCATCCTATCAAGCAGGGTAATTTCGAAAAAAAACCCTTGCCTCTTGAAGTTACATAGCTCAATAAGCTTCTTAAATGAGTAATCTGTAAAGAAAACTATTAGGATGACGTTCTGAGATTGTATTGAAAGAATTAGATGTAATTGGAAAAAATATACATCAGTAAACTACAAAACAATAAGTTGACTTATGTTGACAATATCAGTGAAATGAAAAACCATAGTCTTTATCTACACTAAAAGAAAACAATTTAAGAACTGAAAGTTGAACAAACATTCATATTTGATCTGAGCAACTTTAAAAGAAAAAACACACTTCATATAGATTCATTTGTATAATAGACAATTATTACCCTTCCCCCCCCCGCCATCAGGGTTCGTTGAATATAAATGTAAGAAATAAATGAATAAACAAAAAAAAAACAAGACAAAAAAAGGGTTTAAAATCTGACATATATGCAAGAGTTGCTTTAAACGGTTATCATGTAACCAGTCAGTTTTAAAAAAAAAGAAGAAAAGAAGTAAAGAATAATAGACCCCTATTTATTAGTAGTAACTAGGTGTTATGAAAGTCCATAAAAATGGATTTAAAAAAAGAAAAAAAAATTAGCACAATTTTAATTGGGATTTATAAAAACTTTTTTTAAAAAAAAAGAAATCTGTTTGATATAACCATAATTATTGATTGCTTAGGGGGTTAGGGGGATAATTTTACTTATGATACATTTCTGAAAATAAGGCACCAAGACTCCAATTAATTTCAAAAGAATTAACTTTTCTAAAAAACTATAAAAAAAAGAAAAAAGAAAAAAAAGGAAATTTACAATAACACATAGTTACTACTCAACTCAATGTTCAATTTTAGATTCATTTAATAGGATAATTGAAACAGTAATACATTGTTTTTATTAGAAGGGAGTTTTGTGGAGATCTTAGTAATTTTATATAGTTGAAATCATGAGTCAATTGAAGCTAGACAATAATGGAAAACCTGGAAGCACTAGATGGCCGTTTCGTCTTATTATGTGACTCATTAGCAGTGTGCACCAGTGAAGTTCAGCCAGGTCTGTTGTGAGATAGTAACTCAATGAAGATAATGGTGAAGGGTTGCTCAATTTCGTGGATTGGTTGAAGTCAGACATTAACACAGTTGGATGCTGACTCAGTGGTCTAGATGTTAAACGCTCGCGCATGAGATTGATTGGTCCTGTGTTCAAATCTCGCGAGGCGAGATCGTGGATGCGCACTGCTGATGTGTCTCACAACAGGACGAAACGGCTATCCCGTGCTTCCAAGTTTTCAATGGTGGTCTAGGTTCAATTGACTCATTATTTCAACTATATAGCATTGTTATTACTTAAATTAGTTCAAAACTTACTTAAGTGAATTCATTTAAAATATGAATATGCTATAAGCTATCAGTTGTTTATTTTCGGCAAGTACTATCAACACACTACTACTAATAAGTAGAATGTTTCTATGATTTATAAGAAAATTTCTTATTTAAAAAAAATGACATTTACAACATAGTCATGAACTAATCAGTTGAACACTACTTAGAACCAGATACATAGGTACATCAGTTTAGATTGGCAGAATTTACTAACACAAAGATATGAAATTCTCAGGCCAAATCCCAGAATAATAGAGGTAGCAACAGTATCAGTGGTAATAAAAAATATCAAAGATATGACTTGAGAAAGTATAAACTATTGAAACAAAAACATCATAAAAAATTACGACGAATTGAGAATCTCACGATTTAGGAGAAGACAAATGATTTTAAGCCACGTCATTCAAAGTCTCTAAACATTAGTTACGATGATCACGAAGACACCTTCCAGGTAGTCTGTACCTATTAACATGGCTCAATCCAATTGTGACTGTCTCCATATTTTGGTTTGGGTGCTCTTACCTTTGTTCCAGCCTGCTCCTACACCGAACAACATCGCTCGTTGAGGTAGGCGGTGGTTGAGGATATGTAACACATGTCCAAACAACCTCAGTTGATGCAGATTCACTACCTGACTAATCGATTTGCCATCCTTGCATAGCACCTTATTTCTAACCCATGCATTGCTTACTCCGTGGTCCCAAAACACATAAGCAATGATTCGAAGACATCTGTGATCGAATACTAGTAACCTACGAACATGCTCTATTCCTAATGGTCCTATTTAACACCCATGAAATAGAACGCATTGAACTGCTGCTCAGTGAACCCGTCATTTGTTTGATAAAGGGATATCTCACCTGCACGAAAAGTGATGCAAGTTGGCAAAGGCCAATCGAGATCTCAATGTTTGCGCAGATTTCGTCAGTCACCAGATCATCAGGACTGATGAGACTCCCAAGATAAGTGGAGCGAACGATGCGTTCATCTGCCTTATTCATTATGATTAATCCGGGTGATGATGCAAACCAATCATGAAGCAACCTTTTGCATTTGGCAAGAAAGAATCATGTCCCAAACATACTTGCATTGTTACTTAAGGTGGTCAGAAGACTGAATTTTGTTAGCGTCTTCATTGAACAGAACTATATCTTCTGAACATTTTAAGTCAGTAAGTGAATCTTCTGGTAGACCAACCCTTGAACAGTTAAACGATGATAGTGTTATCGCTGATAAACACCATTTGAGGTAACGAATTCCGATAACAGTTCCTCATAGGCTGTAAATCGACTGATAGTGTTCGAGTAGAGAGCCTGTATAAAATTAATGTACTTCTTTAGTACACCCACAATTATTGGTCCACAATCTTAAATCCAACGAATTAGTGATATATACCTCAATGATCATCACATAAACATTGGTACAAGGAGGTACCAAATAGATATGGGCCATATAAATCATTCCATTTATGTGAGGGCTGGGGAAATGCCCGTTTGGTTACATAACAATTGCGGACAAGTGGAGTTGTTTCATCCAAATATGGAACTCCTCAGCTTTGGATATCCACGGCCACACCAGGAATCGAACCCAAGACCTTGAGGTCTTGCAGAGAACACCTGACTTTCAGATCACTGGATTGGCAACCAGTTGTTTACATTTCTAACTCGTCATTTCGTAATATTGCAGATTTAGATAAACAGTGGTTTCATATGACCATTTCCATGTGTATTCATGTGTGAAAAATATGATACTTGTAATGTGGCGGTGTGACTTTGAATATGTTAAGTGTAAGTGTTTGGAAAGGTTGTCCAAATCAGTCAAATCGTAAGAACTTCCTTTTTGTTGAGCGCAAAACGATTTAGCAGTACATAAGGTACTTCAGCTACTAGCCTTTGTTTATAGTTTAGAAAAGATTTTTTGAACCCTTTAAACATTATTAATATTGATTCGATGGTCGTTGAAAATGGAATTTATTCCTGCTAAGGATATAATTTGTAGATTCTCACATTCTTCAAGGTTATTAGATCTTTTCTATGTTGCTGATATATCATTTGGAAGGAGTTATGATTTCATGATAAAACCCGAGCGTTGCTGCTACCTTGACGTGGTGGTCGGGCTTGCCTATCGTGATGAATCAATCGAGCTATACTGTCTAGAACAATCGTTCCTCAAGGTCCTACCATGCCAGAAAGGTCGGTTGAAGAGCGGTAAGACTAAAAGCAGCAAACTCAAGGTCTGATGCGAAGTCGTACTGCTGACTGTACAGAGGTGTGACAGTAGTAAGGTGTTTTCTTCAGACAACCAGCATAACAGCGATGCTACCCTCCCACAAGGAGGAGTGGGATTAGAAAAGGTTGACCCTAAAAATGCACACCTCGCCTTATCCCACGGATATCCGTCTGCGGCGGTAAGGTCCCAACACAAAAAGGTTGTATGTGCCTGACCGCAAGCAGTTGTCCCTCGGGCACTGCGGTCACGCTCCCAGGTCGTTAAGACCAACACTAATCCAAATTTCTTTTCGGGTTAATCAAGAAATACCCTTCTATGGTGTGGGCAGCCAGGAAGTGACATTAGCCCTCATACCGTAACCGCATACGAGATCAAGTTGGTCACATTCAAATCCTTCCTACACCTAATAACTCTCTTAACTCCACGACTAACGCTTCTCACGATAAAACTCTTTGATATATAAAGTGAGTCAACATCGAAAACGTCTAATTTGTAGACACAATTTGTCTTGATATCATACTGATTTTATTTTTGAAGTATTTATACAATCAAACAGTTGATTGGAATTATCCACAAAACTCTTATTAAATTTAAATGAATACACTCTGAGAGATGTATGCTAATTAGATTCATTCTCTTAACAACCTGAAGTAGGAGTAGACGAAGACAATCTCACATGACTACAATATCTCGGTAGAATCGATTCATTATCAGATTAGTCTATTTTTTGATGCCCTGGTACGGCCGAGAGTGGGGAGAGTCTACTCTCCCTCTCGAAATGCTCTCACATGGCCAGCGAATATATAGCCTCTGCCAGGGAAGTCCTACTCACTGCCTTCTCGTGGCACCGGTGTTGTTTACGAAAGTGAGAGGACGAAAAGCGAATGTCCGGCGCTTTAACCGGATTGGTGGACACGGAGGGTCCACCTAGGGGAGTTGGAAAACCCTGATTCCAAACTAATGGTGCACATGGGCTCCAGTTTCCTGATGGAACGAATGGCGGAAGAACCTGTCATTGGTCAACGACTACCATGGGACTGCATCTCCTCACGATGCTCCACTGCCTTGTGGATCAGATCTTTTGGTCAAAGGCTCGGGGTGTGGCCCCCTAAGAAAACCACCTGCTTCGGTTTGGGCACCTGGGCAGTATCACAGCCCACACACAAATTATTTTGTGTGGCGCATATGTACCTGGTGCCCTTTTGTACCAATATATATGTGTTTAAATAAAATAATAATAAATAAATTTTTTGATGTAATATCATGACGTACAACCTTTTTTTGCACTAATAATTTAATCTTTTCATGCAAACAAGTGGATAAAAGTGTACTGCTGATATTATCAACAATCGATAAATTAACTTAATGATTAAAATTATTTATTAAATTGAGTAGGAAGTAATAAAATAGGAAATTATGAGTCAATTGAAGCTACACCACCATGAAAAACCTGGAAGCATTGTACGACCGTTTCATCTTATTGTGGGGCTCCTCAGCAGTGCACATCGATCATCCCGCCTCGCGGGATTCGAACCCAGGACTTACCAGTCTCGCGTCAGAGCACTTAACCGATAGATCACTGAACGGGCCGGCATCCAACGGTGTTTATGTCTAACCTCAACCAATCCACGAAATTGTGCGACTAACTTACATTGTACTGAGGTAGATATCTGTCTCTACCTGACATGGATTAACTCTACTGGCCACGACTTCTCACTAGAACTCTAGGAATTAACTCATAGAGCCAGTCACTAGTGAGCCTATGATCATTATCACAAGGGGGTTATGATTATACAAAAAAAGTAATATACATCAAAGAAAACAAATCATCTATTTGAATGATTAATAATTTAAAGTTAGATCGTGTTTTTATTTATTTATCATTTTCATATTGAAAATTTAACCATTACAAATTGACAAAAAAAACAAAACAAAATCCTTAAGATTTCATTATCATTAACAGAGTGGAACTTACTCCAATTTTTTTATCTGCCGGGAATCCATAACCACTATGTAATAATGCAGTGATAAAACTAAGATCCATGCAATCGAATGGTCTCTGAGGATTTGGGTTACGACAAACTGTGAGAATCATGACGGTAATGATATTGATAGAAATGTGAGACATGAAAAAGAAAAAAAAGAGAATAGAAAAAAATATTACAAATATACCAGACGAAGCAGATTTCTTTAGGATTATTTACTATTAGTTTTTACTTCAGTCAGTCAGTCCCAAAGTAGAATTTCGTACGTACGTACATCAGTTCGAGTTGCCATACCACATTAGCACATAGATCCAGTTGTTGGTTCAAATCCCATAGTGGTAGAAGTAGTAAGAGTATAAGCAGTAATGTGAAAGATTAGGGTTTGAAGATGTCATTTAAGGAGTATAATTCAGTGAAATAAATTTGAAAAGAGGAAAAAGAAGATAAGGACATGAAGAACATGAAGATTAGAATTTGGCAGAACATAAAGAGTGGATGCACTTTCGCCATTGCAAACGATTTTGAGCCATGTCATTCAAAGTCTCTAACCATCGATTACTATCATCTCGCGAATCCCAATCACGTTTTGGTCTGGCCACCCCTAGCTTTCTTCCAACCTACTCCTACACCATGAAACATTGCACGTCGGGGCAGTCGGTGGTTAGGCATACGTAACACGTGTCCCAGCCATCTCAACTAATGAAGTTTCACTACTTCATTAATCGATTTGCCATCCTTACATAGTACCCGTTTCCTAACAACTACATTACTTACCCGGTGGTCCCAGAATATACGAGCTGTACTTTAAAGACACATATGATCGAATAGTCACAGCCTACGAATATCCTCTACTCTTATCGGCCATGATTCGCAAGAATTATTTGCTGTTTGCTTTACTTAGAGTTCCCTAGGTAATGGGTTCGAACCCCGCTTCACCTACTTTGGTTTGGACAACTGGATAGTATCATTAGCTCTAACACTTAGAATGTGGTTTATACCCAAGTTTATGATGGATGAGTTAATAAACAAAGATAAACTCTGAATTCAAGTTAAAGTTGGTAAGAACTAAGTAAATATATATATATATATATATATATATATATATATATATATACACGCTTTATGTAATCGGTTACACCATGATCGCTTTCACTTATTCCAATCATTTATAAACTGTAAACACAAATAATCGATCACTATATATTAATGATTTGCATGATTTGTATGCATGTTATACATCAAAATTACAATTCAACATAGATTTTATTTACTTAAACAAATTGGTACATATGTTCGATGCTTGAATTATATGAAATGACGAAATCCATTCACTTTATTTCTACACTCTTTAGCTTATCCATGATGAAAAAACAATGAAGTATTTTTCAAATTAGTTAGCCTGCTTATAATTATCAACACTTAGGACTTGGGAGGAATATATGCATCGAATCAAACCGCTACATCATCACATCATACTCCAAAGTTACACTTTAATACGAATACGATTGTAAATAGCTGATTTGATACATATTCATAATTGGAATCAATTGTATGAAATACTCTTTGATATTTCTCCATATGCACCAGTGTCAAATGCCCCCAAATGCTCTGGTATGGCCGAGATAAAAGAGAGTCCGCTCTCTCCCTCTCCCAATGCTCTAACATGCCCACGCGTATATAGCGTCTGACGGTGAAGTACTACTCACTGCCATCTCGAGGCATCACTGTTGTCTACGAAATTGAGAGGACGAAAAGCAAATGTCCGGCGCTTTAAGCAGATCGGTGGACACAGCGAGTCCACTCAGGGGAGTTGGAAAACCCTGATTCTAAACCAATGTTGCGCATGGGTTCCAAAATCCTGAGAGAACAAATGGCGTATGAACCAATCGTCGGTCATCGGCTACCATGGGACTGCATCTCCTTGCGTTGCTCCACAGCCTTGTGGATCAGACATTTTGATCGAAGGCTCCGTGAGTGGCCCTCTAAGAAAACCGTCTGCTTCAGTTTAGGCACCCGAACAGTACTATAGTCCTCACACAATTAAATGAAACGACAGATTTTCGTGTGGCGCATGTATATCTGGTGCCCCCTTGTACCAATATCTATGTGTTCAAACAAATAAATGATAATAAATAAGTGACAAATGAATTATCATAGTTAAAATCAAAAGTTGATCAAAGATAGACCACTATCGAAAACCTGAAAACACTGAACGGCCGTTTCGTCCTATTATGGGACTCCGTGTCAGGTGTGAAATAGTTATCCATCTCAGGTACTGGATGAAGGCTTGCACAAGGTCATGAATTAATTAAAGTTAGACATTAACACCATTGGATGCTGACTCAGTGATCTAGAGGTTAGGCGTTTACGCGTGAGACCAAAAGTCCTAGGTTCGAGTCCTACGTCTAGGATCGTGGATGCGCATTGCTGAGAAGTCCCACACTAAGGCTAAACAGCGATCCAGTGGTTCCAGGTTCTCAACAGCGATCTATCTTAGATCGACTCGCGATCTCAACTGTGAAAATACTACAATCTCTTCAAAATTTTTATTATTTTTTATCTAAACATATAAACATTGGTACAAAGGGGCATCAAATATATATGCGCCACACAAATCTCATTTGACTTGTGTGAGGACTAAATTACTGCCCAGGTGCCCAAACTGAAGTAGGTGGTTTTCTTAGGGAGCCACACCCAGAGCCTTTGACCTAAAGGTCTGATCCATAAAACAGTGGAGCATCGTGAGAAGATGCAGTCCCATGGTAGCCGGTGATCAATGATTGATTCATACGCCATTTGGTCCCTTAGGATACTGGAGCTCATGTACACCATTGATTTAGAATCAGGGTTTTCCAAATCCTCTAGGTGGAGTTTCTGTGTCCGCCAACTCGGTTAAAGCGCCGGACATTCGCTTTTCGTCCTTTCAATTTTATAAACAACAATGATGTCACGAGAAGGCAGTGAGTAGGACTTCTCTTCACAAATTTCCATACTGATAACAAATGAAGTAACTATTTACATTTGTAAGCTTTGTGCGTGAATTCAACAACATTAACTAATTCGTTTAGATGTATGAATGAATCTTACTTTATATCAATTAAGTAAATATTCTTATTTGAAAAAAGAAAAGAAAAAGAAAGAAAACTCAAATATGATTTTAAATAAACAACATTGAAAATGTAACTAAGTGGGTTTTTTTCACTTCTGTCTCTATAACTCACATATAAAAATAATCAATTTTGTTGAAATGAAATTTCATATATTCACTCACTCGTATATGGAATACATTAAACAAAGGGTGTATATTTGTACTAAAACTAATTTTCAAATCGATTATCCTTAAAAACTAAAAAGTAGAATGATCATTGAGGGGGTTAAACAAAAGTATATTTAAGTATTGTCAAAGAAAATAAACACAAGCACACACACACACACACACGGTTGAAGAAATTGGATGGAAAGGCGTAAAAATAAGCTTTGTAGATGATTGTCACTAGTCAGTAAGACACATCATCCGTAATTTTGAGAGAATCCATACTATCAAAGAGATTTGAAGTCATGTAGAGACACACGACGGTTGAAGATACTAATATTGAGTTAATCGAAAAGCAATTAGACTCTTCTGCAGAGATAGAATTGTATCGGTCCAAGTTGCCATACCTCGTTAGCACAACAAGATGAACACCGGATTCATAGAAGTAATTAATTTAGTGGTGGTAGTAGTATATAAATTATAGGTTGTATATAAGGATATAGTACAGGAAGGAAGAGAGATATGAAGCAATTTTAGTTTCAAGGTTTAAAGGAAGATAAAGAGTGTATACACCTACACCATTGTGATCGATTCTGAGCCATATCACCTAGAGTCTCCAACCATTGGTTACGACAGTCACGCGGACCCCAACCAGGTAGTCTGCATCTGCCAACATGGCTCAGACTAGAAGTTAGTGACTTCAAACACTGATGCCATGTTTTGGTTTGGCCGCCCCTAACTCTCTTCCAACAATCCCCTACACTAGTCATCATTGTAAATCATCATTGCAAATACGCTTTAGTGATCGAAAATGGAATCATGAATAAAGCTCGAAATCAAAGTTAATCGGAAGTTTAAATGACTTGAAATACTCAACTAAACACATTTCTCAATGTAGAAAATGGTCTGGCTAGAGTCTATTAAGTATGTGTGTCGAATTTCAAAAACCAAGAGGGATTACCATGAAGTTATGAAAATTTTCAATCATTTGAAACAAAGTTTGAATTTGTTCAGTTTCTTTTACTTTGTACAATGAGATTGCTAATTATAGTCTTGAGATGGAAATAATGAACGATCAAGTTGTCATTTCATTTAATTGTGTGAGGGATATGATACTTCCGGGTGCTCAGACCGAAGCAAGTGGTTTTCTTAAGGAGCAACACCCGGAGCCTTCGACTTAAAGGTCTGATCGACAAGGCAATGGAGTATCGTGAATATACCATAAATGAAAGTTAGAAAAATTCAACATTCACTGAATTCTATACATTAGTAACTGAGGAAAAGTTTTTTAATCTAGAATATTTTAAGTATGATCATATTCAATAATATGACATTTAAACCTGAAGAAACAAACGTTAATCTTAAATCACTTTTTTTGCTTTTACAACGAGCAAAATATGTACAGTTGTATTTATCACGTTGATAAGATAATACTGTTGACGATGATGACTGAATGTAAGTAAAATATTAGTATCACTAATAAATGTAATCACCAACATTTGAGAACAACGGAACAGATGGTTAGAACACTTTGAAGAACTCTTGAATCGACCAGCTTCACTGAACCCACCCTACATCCAAGCAGCACCTACAGACCTCCCAATCGATGTTGGCCCACCAACAATTGAAGAGATCAGCATGGCCATCAGATAAATCAAGAGCGGCAAAGCAGCGGGTCCAGACAACATTCCAGCAGAGGTACTGAAGCAGATGTAGCAGCAACTGCAAAGATACTTCACATTCTCTTCAGTAAGATTTGGGATGAAGAACAAGTACCAACAGAATGAAAAGAAGGACTTCTGATCAAAACACCAAAGAAAGAAGATCTCAGAAGGTGTGGGAATTACAGAGGCATCAGTCTTCTCTCAATATCGGGTAAAGTCTTCAACAGGGTGTTGTTAAACAGAAGGAGGGACTCCGTAGACGCCCAAATTCGAGACCAACCAACACTAAGATCAGAATTTTCAATAGGAATGTCAAGACGGTTCTACCTTATGGGACGGAGACGTGGAGAACTACGAAAGCCATCATCCACAAGATACAGGTGTTCATTAACAGTTGTTTACGCAAAATACTTCGTATCACATGGCCAGACACTATCAGCAACAATCTACTGTGGCAGAGAACAAACCAGATTTCAGCAGAGGAACCGTTTTACCATCTATGTGTCATAACAATGTAAAACTAGAGGATGATTGTTGTAGAATACTATCTTGTTTATTGTTTGATAATAACTTTAGCCAGTAATTAGTTCAATCTTTTGGGAAGGTGTGATATGTCAATAAGTGTTCATTTGGTAAGAGAAGATTATTCTACAAAGTTGCATCGTTGAAACAACCAACTTCATTACTGAAATACTTACTTTTCACGTTATTAAATAGTCAGCCAGTCAGTGAGCTACAATGTAGGATCAGGCACATATATGCATCGGTACAAGTTGACATACCTCATTAGCACAACAAGATCAACACCGAACTCATAGAAGTAGTTAATTTAGTGGTGATAGTATATAAAACAAAGGTTCTATATAAGGATATAGTACAGAAAGAAAGACATATATGAAGCAATTTTAATCTCAAGGTTTATGGGAAGATAAAGAGTGTAAACACCTAAAGATTGTGATTGATTCTGAGCCAAGTTACACAGAGACTCCAACCATTGCTTACGATAGTCATGCGGACCCCAGCCAAGAAAACTGCATCTAACAACATGGCTCACATTAGAAGTTAGTGACTTCATGCACTGATGCCACGTTTTGGTTTGGCCTGCCCCCAAAAGCCCTGGTACGGCCGAGAGAAAGGAGAGTCCGCTCTCCCTCTCGAAATGCTCTCATATGGCCACGCGAATATATAGCCCCTGCCAGGGAAGTCCTACTCACTGCTTTCTCGTGGCATTAATGTTGTTTACGAAAGTGAGAGAACGAAAAGCGAATGTCCGGCGCATTAACCGGGTTGGTGGACACAGAAAGTCCACCTAGGGGAGTTGGAAATCCCTGATTCCAAACCAATGGTGTACATGGACTCCTGTATCCAGAAGGAACAAATGGCGAATGAACCAGTTATTGGTGACCGGCTACCATGAGACTGCATCTCCTCACGATGCTCCACTGCCTTGTGGGTTAGACCTCTAGGTCAAAGGTTCGGGGTGTGGCCCCCTAAGAAAACCACCTGCTTCGGTTTGGGCACCCGGGCAGTATCACAGCCCTCTCGCAAATAAATGAAATGGAACATTCAACTGACAATTATATTCTCGTTCATACTAGAAACAAGTCAATTTGCATTATTAATATTATTTACCATATCGCTAACTCACCCCCCTTTTATCCCCAATTTGTGTAACCTTACTTTTCAACTTATGCAGCAGCTCGCTCTTGGTGGAAAATCTGTCCTATCTAAACGATCTCCAGTCACTGTCTGGTTGAAAGTGAATGCTTTCAACGATTATGAATACTGAAGCAGTCTTTCTGAAACCACGTACGCCGTTCAAGCTGGCTTCCTTCAACGTTCGCACACTAATGCAGATCAGACAACAGAGAGGGCTGGCTATGTCTTTGGAAAGTCTTAATTTTGACGTTTGTTGTCTATCCGAGACCCGTATTCAAGACTCTAGTGAAGTACTACAAATTCGCTATCCATCTGTCGCCTCGAAAAGCTTGTTTCAAATGCGCTTATCCGGGGACCCTGTGGCATCTTCGTCTGGTCTTGCAGGCGTTGGTGTTGCACTAAGCGCTAGGGCTGAGGCAGCACTAATCGATTGTATCCCCATTAACAGTGGGTTATGTGCTGTTAGATTATTATTTATTTAAACACATAAATATTGGTACAAGGAAGCACCAGATACGTATGCGCCATACAAATCTCATTCGATTTGCTTGAGGGCTGTGATACTGCCCAGGTGCTCAAACTGAAGCAGGTTTTCTTAGGGGACCACAAACGGAGACTTTGACCTTAAGGTCTGATTCACAAGGCAGTGGAGCATCGTGAAGAGATGCAGTTCCATGGTAGTCGGTGATCAATGATTGATCCGTACGCCATTTGTTCCTTCAGGATACTGGAGCCCATGTGCACCATTGGTTTGGAATCAGGGTTTTCCAACTCCCCTAGGTGGACTTTCTGTGTCCACCAACCCGGTTAAAGCGCCGGACATTCGCTGTTAGATTAGAAAGTTCCATCAAAGTGAGAGGAAACCGGTATGAGAAACGGTGTCTTTTTGTCATCTCCGCCTATGCCCCGACAGATTGCAGCCCGGATGCAATCAAAGATGAGTTTTACCACCAGTTAACAGTTCTCCAGAAAGCGCGTTCAACAGATATTGTAGTATTAGCCGGAGACTTGAATGCACAGATCGGACGTCTAGGCACAGAAGAGAGTCGTCTAGGTAGCCGATGGGGACTTGTTGGTCGCAGGACAGATAACGGGGACCGTTCGCTGCAACTGTGCTCAGACCACAACCTGTTTCTGGCCAGCACTAACTTCCGGCACAGTCAACGCTGGTGTGCCACCTGGCGTCCTCCCTCTGCATCTCAAGCCTGGACTCAGATTGATCACATCGCGATACGCTACCGCTGGCGTGGTTGTGTACAAGACTGCCGCTTCTTTTGGAATACCTATCTGGAGTCTGATCATGCCCTGGTCTGCGCCAATCTCACCTTACTTTTCAGTGGTCGAAGGATTGACCGCCATCAACGGGTCGATGTTAGTAAACTGGCTGCAACTTCTGTTCGGCATCGTGTGCTCGGGTGCAGAGACGATAATTCAATTGGTGTCACCATCTTGAAACACCGACTTCGGTGGCTCGGACATGTTTTACGAATGTCGTCCCAGAGAATTCCACGTCGTGCATTATTTGCCGACTCTGAGACTGGTTGGAAAAAACAGAGAGGAGGTCAGTGTATGACATGGTGTCGTGGTATGAAAGAAAGCTGCAAAAGGCTAGCTTCTGTTGATTCTTCACGACTCTCTGGCTGGGGTCCGAGTGATGGTGCAACACAGTGGCTAAAGACGTTATCAGATATGGCTCAGAATAGAAGCCAGTGGCGATCCTGCTCTAACCTTCTTCTACTTTCTTCATAAAGAGTGGCTATAACTTTCCTAACTGAGAGAGCTCTTCTGGTTGTACATTTCAGCTCCCCCCATCATTACACTTCTCTTTTTCTTTTTTTCCTTCCTTTATATATACGCATCTTCTTCCTTCCCCTCCAATTCTCATTATTTTGTGTGGCGCATATGTATCCAGTGCCCTTTGTACCAATATATATGTGATTAAATAAATAATAAATTTGGTTTGGCATCTCCTAACTCTCAATGATCTCCTATACTATTAAGCATACGTGTTTAGGCATACGTAACACATGACCCAACCATAACTTACGAGTATCTGCTACTTTTAATGGCCACGTTTCACAGCGGTAAAGTAAAGCAGAGAGAACTGCTGTGCAGTATACTCGTCTCTTAATTGATAGACGGATATATCGTCTTCACCATCCATGAATAGTTATATGATAGTGCAAAATTAAACTTTTTCAAACACAATAGTGACATAAGATAATAAAATAAACACAAATTAAAAAACAAAACAACAATCCTACTTCGTTCAGCAGCATTTTGAAAATCATTCACTGTAAGAAATCCACCAGTACTTTCATGAATTAAACCAACACTAACAGCTAAATCAAAATAATATGAAAATGCATAAAATTCACGTGTTTTCACTTCAATTGGTTGATGAACAATATTATTGTTAGGTGGATATCTGATAACATTTACATCACCTAATGAAAAGAAAAAAAGAAAAATATATATATTGATTGTTTATTACTGTGGAAAATAAGAACGATAAAAATATAGGGTCACATTTATTACTAGGAAACAAACATGACAAAAACCTTATTTGAATGAAAGCAGAATAAATAAGATCAGTCAGTCACAACGTAGAACTTTGTACGTACATACATCAATTCCAGTTGCCATACCACCTCAGCACAGAGATGTAGTTGTCCATTCAAATCCCATAGTGGTAGAAGTAGTAAGAGTATAAGCAGTAATGTGAAAGATTAGGATTGGAAGATGTTAATGAGGGACTATAATACAGTGAAATCGATTTGGAAAGAGAAAAGGGATAGTAACATGAAGAATCCAGATTAGAATTTGGCAAAATATAAAGAATGAATGCACCTTCGCCATTGTAAACGATTTTGTGCCATGTCATTGAAGATCTCTAACCATCGGTTGCTATCGTCTCGCGGATCCCAACCAGGTAGTTTACACCTACTAACATGGCTCAGCCCACTTGTCAGTGACTGCATGGATTTGTGCCACGTTTTGGTCTGGCCGCCCCTAGCTTTCTTCCAATATGTCCCTACACCATAGATAAGATGGTGAAAAAAATAGTAGAAATTAGAATTTATTTTCTGAAGAATGTAGGATGTTGTTTTGGAAAGGATTGCCAAGGACAGGGTTGGATGAAGCAAAACTGGCGTACGGCTTATGCTCCTACACGAGGGGTAACAGGAGTAAGTTAGTAGTATGTTGTTTCGTAAATTTTTATTCATACTATATTCTTTAGGTAAATAGACTATGAAAAAATGAATCTTAAGTAGGCAGGTAGGTTTGTGGGTAGGTAGGGAGATACAAAAATGTCCTAACACTTTGAAGTAATCAACTTTTAATTATTAGGTTGTAAATTTGACAGCCTAACTGCCTTACTTAATTTATTCTAAGTAGTAGTTAATTTTCTATTACTATTGTTATTATCTATATCAATAGAAAACTATAGCTTAATTCCCGACCATTGCTGATACCTTGACGTGGTGGTCGGGCATGCCTTTCGTGGTGAACCAATCGAGCTATACTAGCTAGAACAATCATTCCTCAAGGTCCTACAATGCCAGACAGGTCGGTTGAAGAGCAGTAAGACTAAATGCAGCAAACCCAAAGTCCAAAGGCGAAGTCGTACTGCTGATTGTACAGAGGTGTGATGGAAGTAAGTGTTTCCCTTCAGACAACCAGCATAACAGCGTGGCTGCCTTCCGACAAGGAAGGGTAGGGTTAGAAAAAATCGACCATGACAATGCACATGTCGCCTTATCCCACGGATTTTCATCTCTTAAGATAAGTTCTCAGCAAGTACGGAGCTAACGCAAAAACTACCCACAAAAAAGTCGTGTGTGACCGACCTCAAGCAGTTGTCCCTTGGGCACTGCGGTCACGCTCTCAGGTCATTAAGACCACTTCTAATCCAATTTCCTTTTCAGGTACCTCTAGAAGGAACTCTTCCACGGTGTGAGCAACCAGGAAGTAATAAGCGCCTTCAGATCTATAACAGCACTCAATACTACCGTATTCGTAATGCATTTACCTCTTTCCTTCATATGATTACTCCTACTTTGACTTTTAACTCCAAACTTCCTCCTTAAATGTCACCATGATCAACGATTCTAGTGCGCGAAATACTATCCCAGGTCTACTAAAACCTCGCTCCAAACTACACATTGGAGCCTTCAACGTAGGTACCTTATGTCAAATCGGCTAGCAGGCCTCCTTGGCTAAAACTCTAGAATCTCGTACCATTGATGTATGCTGTCTCCGAAACACACATACAGGATCCTAGTGTGGTCATTCACTTGACCTCACCACGCCAAAATGGAGAGCCGACGAGATACACACTCCGTGTATCTGACGACCCGATAGCTAGTTCTCGTGAACTTGCAGGTGCAGGCATAACACTTAGTACAATGGTAGAACAAGAACTATTAGCATGGATTCCTGTTAACAGTTACCTATGTGTTGTTCGGCTAAACGGCTAGGTAAGAGCTTGGAAAAATAGGAACACACGTCGTTAGCTTTTCATCATTTCTGTCTACGCTTTCACTAACTGCATTCCGGATGAAGTGAAAAATGAATTTTGCAGAAAGCTTTTTGAAGTTCTTCAAAAAGCTAAACGCTTAGACATAGTACTCGTAACAGGTGACTTTGATGCCCAAGTAGGTAGCTTAAACCAAACAGAAAGATATTTAGGTGGGTATTTGGTATTCCGGGTCAACGAACAGATAATAGTGACCGTCTGCTGCAACTGTGATCAGATAATTGTTTATTTCTAACAAGCACCAATTTTAAGCATAAAGAGAGAAACCGTTTAAAATAGCGACCCCCTACACCAAACCAACGATGGATTCAGATGGACTTTATTGCCATCAGTCATCGTTGGAGAGACCCGATGGAATACATGTTTAGACTCTAATCATACTCTAATACGAGCACGCATTTGCTTAAGCCTCACTGGTCTGAGCCACGTTGGTAGATTCAGACTACCTGGTTGGGGTCCGCACCACTATCGTAACCAGTGGTTGGATACTCTAGGTGACATGACTCAGAATCGATCACAATAGTGTAGGTATATACACTCTTTATCTTCCGTTAAACTGTGAGGTTAAAATTACTTTATACCTTTCTTTCTACGAACTAATTCGTTCTCCCTGTATCATATAGTCATATGAAATGTTTTGTTTACTACCATAGAAGTAACTGCTTCTATGAAATTGGTGTTCATCTTTTTGTGTTACTGAAGTATGGCAACTTGTGCCTGGTCCTATGTTGTAGATAACTAACTAAACTAATAGTCTAATTATTATATAAATATGCACAATTAGTTATTAACGCATCATTGTATAGTATGTTAAGATCATTCGTTAGCAAGAGGTTAATAAATAAGATGTATGTATTTCTACAGTCTTTAATCAAAGTATTGAACTATTACATAATATGAAGTATGTATATGCTCAAACCACTTCTTTTCTCAAATATGCGTCTTGGCCTGTTTTTGTTATATTAAGGTTTGTTTAAATTAAGTAACTACATCGGTTAACTTCGCAGTTCACAATCTAACTGAAAATTAACTACTGAAAAACTATCCTTCATATACTATATCCTTATATACAACCTTTCTTTCATATATTACAACCACTAAATTAACTACTTCTATGAATCCGGTGTTCATCTTGTTGTGCTAACGAGGTATGGCAACTTGGACCGATGCATAAATGTACCTGATCCTATGTTGTAGCTGACTGAAAAACTAAAGAAGGATCACTATGATCGTTCATATACTTTCCTCTTACTCTTTTACTATATGAAAAAAACAAGACGCTATCACTAATATGATTTAAACATTGAACAAATTTGGCAACGAAGATACATGTTATGAGAACAAGGCTGTTTGTAAACATTTCAGACTGAATATGAATGGTAGATTAAGAAATATTTTAGATACAAATTTTAATTAAATATAGTTGAGATAATGAATCAATTGAAACGAGACCACCATGGAAAACCTTGAAGCACTAGACGGCAGTTTCGTCCTATTGTGGGACACCTCAGCAACTGAATTATGATCTCAACTATATAAAATTACTAAAATCTCCATAAAAACCACCTTCTGATAATTTTAAATTAGTTACTACGTAAATGATAAATAATGTTTTTTCAGTATTGAATTATTTGTGCTGGGAATTTTTTATGGGTGTTATGTTAATATGTGTAAAGTGACAAATTTTGAAACAGTAAAAGAACAGATTTAATGGTGTTATCGAATTACAGTTATTAAGACGCATATAAATCAGTTAAGCATTAATCCTGATAGTCTGATCAGCTCTGTTCAAGAGATTATATGCCATCAGATTAAACGATTACATGTGTGCGGTATGTTTTGATTGTTGTTGTTGAGTATGTACAAAGTTCGTCGATAGATAACAGAAATGAGAAATCGAAATCTTTAGTAACATGAGTAACATGAATAATGTAAGAAGTACAGGTCAGAAAAGATGTATGGAAGTAGTAGATTAGAAGAAAGCTAGTAAGATCAAACTAAAATATGGTATCAGTTCATGAAGTATCAATGATAGTTGCATTGAGATATGTCAGTAAATCCAATCTGTTAAGCTTTCTGAATTTTACTTCTCGAATCATATTCTTAATATTTAGTTGTTTTCAGTATCATGGTTTCAATGTTATTTCGATTCCTTTAGTGTTCATCTTGGTAATGATTATGGTGTGGCAAATTCAGCCGATACATATTTGTACTACGTTTTATGCTGCTTAAGACTGGTTGATCAGTCAGTCAGCTACAACGTAGGACCAGGCACATATATGCATCGATCAAAGTTGCCATACCTCGTTAGCACAACAAGATGAACACCGGATTCATAGGAATAGTTAATTTAGTGGTGATAGTATATAAAACAAAGGTTGTATATAAGAATATAGTGTAGGAAAGAAGACAGATGGGAAGCAATTTTAATCTCAAGGTTGAAAGGAAAAATAAAGAGTGTATACACCTGCGCCATTGTGATCGATTCTGAGCCATATCACACAGAATCTCAAACCATTGGTTACAAAAGTCGTGTGGACCCCGACCAACTAGTCTGCATCTAACGACATGGCTCACACTAGAAGTTAGAGACTTCAAGTACTGATGCCACGTTTTGGTTTGGCCAACCCTAACTCTCTTCCAACCATCCCCTGCACTAGTCAACATTGCGTGTCGTGGTAATCGGTGTTCAGGCATACGTAACACGCGACCCAACCATCTCAGTCGATGAAGATTCATCACCTCATCAACTGATTTACAACCATTCCCTAATACCCTGTGTATAACCTCACTATTACTTACCCGGTGATCCCAACAGATGCGAGCAATATTTCTAAGGCATCTGTGGTCAAATATTAGTAACTTATGAGTATCTTCTACTCTTAATGACCATGTTTCACAGCCGTAAAGAAGAACAGAGCGAACTGCTTTGCAGCATACTGATCCCTTCATTGTGACTGAATGATACTTAATTGTCACGCACGCATACACAGCAGGTTATATATATAGAGAATAAAGCATACGTACTGTAAAATATATACTATAAGAATATAAGTTAATCTGATTAAATTTTGCTCACCTTCAACAGGATTTTGCAATACATTCACTGCTAAAGCATAACACAACAATGAATAATCATTATCATTGTTATTAGCATTACTATTGACCGGTTCAATTGCTGCTTGATGATGATAAATTGATTTTGTTTTAATAAATGATAATAAAGATTTAGACATTGAATGATTCATACGACTGATTTGCCAATCTTTACCGGCATGATTCCATTTAAGCTAAACAAAGAATAATAATGAATGATAACTAACAGATGAAAGGAAAAAGTAAATGAAATACACAGAAACCGATAACTATTGTATTAGATTTTCTAAGCGCTCTCGCGCGAAGTTGATAGGTACTGGATTCGAATCTCGTGAGGCGAGATCGTGCATGCGCACTGCTGAGGAGTACCATAATAGGACGAAACGGGAGTCCAGTGATTCCAGGTTTCCTATGGTGGTCTACCTTCAATTGATTCATGATCTTAACTATTAAGACTCGTATTTCTTGAAAGATATTACACACATATATTATGTGCTAAACAAAACGAGAGAATTAGTGTATAGTTGTGTACAATTAAAAAGTATGATTCAATTTAAATGAATCATTGAAAGCTAGTCCCATCAATAATTACTACTTTCCAAGCTAGGTCAAAATGTATATAAATAAATTATTAAAAGAAAAACTTTTAATGATTGCTTTGGACTTCGATTGTACGTACATGATGAAACAGAGATTAAGTACCCCCAAATGCCCTGGTACGGCCGAGAGTGGGGAGAGTCCGCTCCCCCTCTCGAAATGCTCTCACACGGCCACGCGAATATAGCCTCTCCTAGGGAAGTCCTACTCACTGCCTTCTCGTGGCGGGGGTGTTGTTCACAAAAGTGAGAGAACGAAAAACGGATGTATGGCGCTTTAACCGGGTTGGTGGACACCGAAAGTTCACCTAAGGGAGTTGGAAAAACCTCATTCTAAATCAATCGTGCACATGTGCTCAAGAAACCTGAGGGAACAAACGGCATATGAATCAATCGTTGGTCACCGACTACCATGAGACTGCATCTCTTCACGATGCCCCACTGCCTTGTGGATCAGACCTGTAGGTCAAAGGCTCGGGGTGTGGCCCCCTAAGAAAACCACCTGCTTCAGTATGGGCACCTGGGCAATATCACAGCCCTCACACAAATCGAATGAGATCTGTGAGGCGCATATTTATCTGGTGCTTTTTGTACCAATATTTATGTGTTTAAATTAAATAAAATACAATAAAAGTGATTGAGTACAAGCACTGTTAGGTGTTCATAGTGTTTAATAAGTGATTCTAAGTAGTTTCTAACCAATCACATACACAGATATTATTTTCATAACTAAATTCTCGTCTTAGATCTTGAGTCTCAAAGATTACAACCACTAAATGCCTGTATTTCACAAATTATGGTTAATTAGTTCCTAACTTATTAATATGGTTAAGACTACTATTATCACTATTATTTCTGATCTTTTGTTTAAGGTCCTATCACTGTTTACCTTTTTCTTGTTATCAGTCAGCTACAACGTAGGACCAGGCACATATATGCATCGGTCCAAGTTGTCATACCTCGTTAGCACAACAAGATGAACACCGGATTCATAGAAGTAGTTAATTTAGTGGTGGTAGTATATAAAAGGACCGTTGCTGCTACCTTGACGTGGTGGTCGTGCATGCCTATCGTGATGAACCAATCGAGCTATACTGGCTGAAACAATCGTTCCTCAAGGTCCTACCATGCCAGACAGGTCGGTTGAAGAGCAGTAAGACTAAATGCAGCAAACCCAAGGTCCGAAGGCGAAGTCGTACTGCCGACTGTACAGAGGTGTGACAGTAGTAAGGTGTTTCCTTCAGACAACCAATATGCCAGCGATGCTGCCTTCTCACAAGGAAGGGTAGGGTTAGAAAAGGTCGCCTTATCCCACGAATTTTCATCTCTGGAAGTAAGGTCCAAACAAGTACGGAGCCAACAGGAAAACTATTCACAGAAATTTCGTGTGTGACTACCCTTAAGCAGTTGTCCCTTGGGCACTGCGGTCACCCTCTCAGGTCACTAAAACCACCTCTAACCTAATTTCCTTTTCATGCACCTTAAGGAGAACCCTTCCACGGTATGGGCAACCGGGAAGTGATAACTGCCCTCATAACTCTAACAACACTCAAGATCAGTGTATTTTCTTTCTTGTTATGCCAATATGTAAAGTATAACAACTTAACCTGATGTATACCATTCCCAGATCCTCGATCTTGATTATGACTGATATCTGAAAGTTTTCAACAAAAATCTAGTATTTAAATAATAGAAAGTTTAGCATACATAAAATTAAACTTACAGTTACATTATTAGGCCAACAAGGGTGTAAAAACTCTTTCTTTCCTTGAGTAATTAACTTGAAATGTTCAGTTGCATTATGTAACATCGAATAACGTGCAGACATTAGTCCTAGTCCTAAGTAACTATGTGAATAGATCTGTAAGAAAAAAACAAAATTTAAAGTGTGAATATCTATCTACATTATTACTGAATAGTTAAAGACAATCTGTAGGAAGCCATAGAACTGGTTTCATAATAGTTGGCACTGATTATTAGAGAAGTAAGCAGAGTTAAGAGACTCACACTAATCTATGGTCATGGTAGTAACCATTGTATTATACTATATAATCTCTAGCCCTGACCCAGACCTGTAGAATACTTCAAATTAACCACAAAACTACTTGGTTATGTGATTTGATCCTGTGATATAATTGCTTGATGATAAGTTGTTGAAAGAAAATGATAATAGTAAGTCCGGGATCCAGTTTTTTATCCCGATCGATATTTCGTCTAATATACTTTGATAAAAACCGACTAAAACTAGGGGCTGAATAACATGATTTGAGTTTCTATGAAAGGAGTGATTACTTCAATCTACTAGAAAAACTTAATAAGTAAAGCAATTTGAAGCAGGTCACTGAATAAATTAGACTTCACGTTATGTATTTTGTAACAGTTAGAAATACACTATACAGTGACGTGAATGGAAGTAGGCGGAATCGACGTGGGTCATTAAAAAAACGTTAAAAATTCAATATTTATCCAGTATTTTTCATAGTTGAAATCATGAGTCAATTGAAACTAGACCACCATGGAAAACCTGGAAGCATTGGACGGCCGTTTCGTCCTATTATGGAACTCCTCAGCAGTGCGCATCCACGATCTCGCCTCGTGAGATTCCAACTCAGGACCTACCAGTCTCGCGCCAGAGCACTTAACCGATAGACCACTGAGCCGGCATCCAGTGGTGTTAATGTCTAACGTCAACCAATCCACGAAGTTTAAGCAACAGTTCACTAGTTCATCCAGTAACTCATAGAATCAAATAAGACTTCACTGAATTCAGTTACATAATCAAAATATTATCTTTCAACTACTAAACATAATTTAGATACAATTCAGATAATCAGCCTCACTGCATAAAATAGATAAACTTCGCTTCTTATCGTATGAATCGGTACTTATAATAACTAACAGATGTAATTTAAACGTATCCAGTATCCTGAGGGAACGAATGGCTTAAGAACCAGTCACCATGGAACTGCATCCTCTCACGATGCTTCACTGACTTGTGGATCAGACCTTTAGATCGAAGGCTTCGGGTGTGGCCCCTCAAGAAAACCACATGCTTCGGTCTGTGCATCCGAACAGTATCATAGCTCTAACACAATTAAATGAAATGATAATATTTTGTGTGACGCATATATATCTGGTACCCAGTCCTACAGGTCGGTCGCGGCCCGAATAGCTCAGTGGTAACGTCTCTGACTGAGAAGCTGAGTGACACGGGATCGAACCCGTCAGGGAGCACCAGTTCCCTCAAGATTATAGGCACACCTTGCTGACGAGTGCCAAGTAGCACGAAACCCGCGTCCAGGGTTTCCTGTTGACCGCCTCCAACCCCCATCTTATCTCATTATATCCATTTAACCAAACCTAAAATGTAAGTGAATTAGATTTCAGTCACTTAGATACTAAATCACAAATTCAATATGAACAAATGAACAAATAACAACACAATCAAATGGATAACAATACCTTTTGTTTTGGTTTATCATTACTATTTTGTACATCAAAATATGTAATAAAACCATTAGGTGCATTATTGAAAGTATTTAACTCAGTAGGAATAAATGTGATCTGTGTAGAACCACCGCCTAGATCTAATGTACCAATTGTTTGTGCAAGTGAATTTTCAGTCATTGCATTATTCTTCTGTGCTTTCCCATATGATAAACGGTTATTAAGAAAGTTTAATGTAAACCATAAATATAGACCTTCATAAAATCCATCCATAATAGTTACAGCATTAGGTAATTGTTTAAAACAGGTTTGAGATAATCTATGTCGTACCTGAATAAATAGAGAAACAAATAAAAGACAATACATACTAGGATGTAATTCAATTTGAAATTACTTGGATTATCTTGTCGTCCAGCTCGGAGTGAATGTTAATTCTAAGTAGCAAGTACATTTAGCTGACGAGTCCCGAATGGGACGAAGCGTGGGTCCTAGGTTCCACTGATAGCTACATTCCATCTATTCTATATTGTACTAGAATGTATTTTACAGAGCATAAAAACTAAATTCAGCATAAAATGGTTAGCTGAATATTAATCGTTAAACGACCTTAGAAGTGTACAATTGTCTCCATATGTATTTGGACACTGTTTCTAATTATGTGCTTTGAAATTGGTTTACTTAAACAATTTCACATCAATTGAACCTTAAATATCACAACGTAATATAAAATACTTCAAACACATTGACTTGATAGATCTGCTGAAAGGACTTCTATTGCTGCCAAATTGCACGTAGCTTCCACAATGAAGTCAATACTGACGCAGCTAATTTGAGGATAAGATGCTAGTGTTCGGCTCATCTGTGTGTGTGTTTATCAAACTAACTGTTCCTGTTAGGCTAGTTACATGGGTCATACTTAAAGGGCCTTATCTTTAAGAGTTCGTCAACACATACCGGCATGCTCAATAGAGAGCGTTACGAAATCTATCAATAGTGACATTCTTTTCCACTTAATTAACTATGGACATAACATTAAATTTGAAAATGCCTTCTCAGCTCCTAATCATCTACCAAAAGGCACATGACTACACTTACCCTATATAGCTGAAGTAATTGGTATCAACTCGAACAAACCTAACTTACGTTCCGCTTTATTGTGATTTGCACTCTCTCCTATGACATTCTTCTATCTTTAATTCCTATTTCGTATTAGAATTTTTGCTTTTTACAAACCCTTTTAATTCACTAATTCGAACTTATCACCTTTTGACATTTAATATCTCCTGTCCTTTATGTTTAACTTTTCTTAACATTACAAATGACGTGTTAAGTAATAATCAAGACTCATTTGACGTCAAATTTCCAATATATGATATGGATCAATTCAATTTTAATATTTAATCTATGGTAGCATAGTAATTATCTTCTGGCTAACGCCTTTGTGGAAAGGTTGTTTTCTACGAGAAGGGGTTGTTAATCCCGTTCATGTTCAACCGTGCTCCTCTATTCGAACTTCGGACTGGAAGATTTCCTAAAAGCTTCCGGGTAGATCTCTTTATACAAAGCAGTTATGACACTTTATGGTGAAAAATGAGATTTTTCGGAAGTCCCGAGGCCAATATCCCTTGTAACAACTAGAGTAAAAAAACAATAATAACTCCGGATATTGACTATTGAGTCTGGTGAAGAATTGTTTCGATAACTTATTCACCATAATACTCTTCGTTCTTAAATATTCTATAAGGATTTTAAATTCTAATTTTTTAATATACAGCATTTAAACGTATAGGTTTATGTACAAGTGGATTGAGCCATGTTGGCAGGTGTAAACTACCTGGTTGGGATTCACGAGATGAAAGCAATCAATGATTAGAAACCTTGAATACTTACTTACTTTCGCCTGTTACTCCCAATGGAGCATAGGCCGCCGACCAGCTTTCTCCAACCCACTCTGTCCTGGGCCTTCTTTTCTAGTTCTTTCCAGTTCTTGTTCATTCTTCTCATGTCTGTCTCTATTTCTCGGCGTAATGTGTTCTTTGGTCTTCCTCTTCTCCTTCGACCTTCAGGATTCCATGTGAGGGCTTGTCTTGTGACACAATTGGGTGATTTCCTCAAAGTGTGCCCAATCCACTTCCAGCGCTTCTTCCTGATTTCTTCCTCCGCTGGAATCTGGTTTGTTCTCTCCCACAGTAACTTATTGCTGATACTGTCTGGCCATCGGATCCGAAGTATCTTGCGTAGACAGCTGTTAATAAACACTTGTATCTTCTGGATAATGGCTTTCGTAGTTCTCCACGTCTCTGCCCCATACAGAAGAACTGTCTTGACATTTGTATTGAAAATTCTAACCTTGGTGTTGGTTGACAATTGTTTTGAGCTCCAGATGTTTTTCAGCTGTAGGTATGCTGCTCTTGCTTTGCCGATCCGCGCCCTCACATCTGCATCTGATCCACCGTGTTCATCAATGATGCTTCCCAGATATGTAAAGATTTCCACATCCTCCAAAGCTTCTCCGTCAAGTGTAATTGGATTGGTGCATATTGTATTGTATCGGAGAGTCTTGCTTTTCCCTTTGTTTATATTGAGACCTACTGCTGCTGAGGCTGCTGCTACATTGGTCGTTTTCTCCTGCATTTGTTGTTGCGTTTGTGATAGAAGAGCCAGATCATCCGCGAAGTCTAAATCGTCAAGCTGCATCCTGCCTGTCCACTGTATCCCGTGCATTCCTTCAGATGTTGACGTCTTCATAATCCAGTCGATCACCAGGAGAAAGAGAAAGGGTGAGAGTAAGCAACCTTGCCTAACACCGGTCTTTACCTCGAACGAGTCGGTGAGTTGTCCTCCGTGGATGATTTGGCAGTTTAGTCCATCATAGGAGTTCCGTATGATGTTGACTATCTTCTCAGGCACGCCGTAGTGTCGAAGAAGCTTCCATAGTGTCGTCCTGTCCACGCTATCAAATGCCTTCTCGTAGTCGATGAAGTTGATGTACAGTGATGAATTCCATTCGATTGATTGTTCCACAATGATACGTAGAGTTGCGATTTGATCTGTGCACGATCTATCCTTACGAAATCCAGCTTGTTGATCTCGAAGTTGAGCGTCCACGGAATCCTTCATCCTGTTTAACAATACTCTGTTGAAGACTTTTCCTGGTATTGAGAGAAGAGTGATGCCCCTGTAGTTGTCGCACTTGCTCAGATCGCCTTTCTTTGGTATCTTGATGAGAAGTCCTTCTTTCCAGTCTGTTGGTACTTGTTCTTCGTCCCAAATATTACCGAAGAGGATGTGGAGTATCTTGGCAGTTGCTGTTAAATTTGCTTTCAGTGCCTCTGCCGGGATGTTGTCTGGTCCCGCTGCTTTGCCACTCTTGATTTGTCTAATGGCCATGCTGATCTCTTCAATTGTTGGTGGGCCAATATCGATTGGTAGGTCTGTGGGTGCTGCTTCGATGTTGGGTGGGTTCAGTGGAGCTGGTCGATTCAAGAGTTCCTTGAAGTGTTCTACCCACCTGTTTCGTTGTTCTTCAATATCGTTGATTACCTTGCCTTCCTTGTTTTTCACTGGTCTTTCTGGTTTACGGTAATTTCCAGCAAGTTTCTTTGTTGTATCATACAGTTGTCTGATGTTTCCCTCTCTTGCAGCCTTTTCCGCTGTCATCGCTAAATCTTCCACATATTTACGTTTGTCGGTCCTGATGCTCCTCTTCACTTGCTTGTTTGCCTCTGTGTATTCGGCTTGTGCCTTGGCTTTTTCTGCTCTTGTTCGGCTGATATTGATTGCTACCTTCTTGTTCCTCCTTGCTTCAATTTTATCCAGTGTACCAACAGTGATCCATTCCTTGTGATGGTGCTTCTTTTGGCCCAGAACCTCCTGACATGTTGAAACGATTGCCTCCTTGATACCTTTCCAGCTGCTCTCTATGGTGGTTCCCTCTCCATTGAGTAGGTCATGAAAGGCCTCGAACCTGTTGCTGAGGGCTATGTTAAATTCGTTGAGTTTGTCAGCATCTCGAAGAAAGGCCGTGTTAAACTTTTGTGATGTTGTCCGCGCCATTGTCCAGTGCTTCTTGAGTTTTAGTTTCATCTTGGCGACCAGCAAATGGTGATCGGATGCTATATCAGCTCCTCTTCTGGTTCTCACATCCTCCATCGTCCTCCTGAACTTTTTGTTGATGCAGACATGGTCGATTTGATTTTGTGTAGTGTGATCCGGTGAAATCCAAGTGGCTTTGTGTATGTTTTTGTGTGGGAATATGGTGCCACCTATGACCAGTTTATTGAAGGCACATAGGTTTGCAAATCTCTCACCGTTTTCGTTCCTTCCTCCCAGTCCATATTGTCCCATGACGTCTTCGTATCCAGTGTTGTCCTTTCCAACCTTGGCATTGAAATCTCCCATTAGAATGGTCAGGTCCTTGGTTGGGCACTTCTCGAAGATTGACTGCAGCCTATCGTAGAATTGGTTTTTAGCGTCTTCATCGTAGTCGTTGGTCGGCGCATAGCATTGGATGATGTTCATTGTAATGCCCTCTCTCTTTGTTCTGAAGGAGGCTTTGATGATCCTCGGTCCATGAGATTCCCATCCTATAAGTGCATTTTGTGCTTTTCTAGACAGCATCAGTGCCACTCCTTGTGTATGTGGGGCATTTTCTTCTTCATGACCGGAGTATAACAGAAGTTCCCCTGAAGACAGTCGTTGTTGTCCAACCTGCGTCCAATGTGTTTCACTGATTCCAAGCACTTCCAGGTTGTATTTCCTCATTTCCGCAGAAATTTGGAAGACTCTGCCGGTCTCCCACATTGTCCGGACATTCCATGTACCTATAAAAATTGTCGCTCTGGTTGTAAGAAGGTGCATCGGCCTCATGACTTCCGAATGAACTCGGCTTTCATCATGAGACGTCATTTTTCCTTCCACTCCCAGGGCAGAGTTTGAATGGTTTGAATGATTTTTTCTGGTTAGCGTTTTTTTAGCGAGTTGATTTTCTACGGGATGGGGTCGCTAACCCCATGCCCAACCCTCCTCCTTTACCCGGGCTTGGGACCGGCAGTAGCCCCTGGAGGAGCTACAGGCGGAATAACAAGGCTCAAAATCGTTTACAATGACGAAGGTGCATTCACTCTTTGTGTTCTACCAAATTCTAATATTCTGAATTCCTCATGTTCCTATCATTTTTCTCTTTCCAAATTTATTTCATTGGATTATACTCCTTGAATGACATCTTCAAACCCTAATCTTTCCGATTACTGTTTATACTCTTACTACTTCTACCACTATGGGATTTGAATCGACAACTGCATCTGTGTGCTAATGTGGTATGGCAACTGGAACTGATGTACGTACGTACGAAGTTCTACGTTGTGAATGACTGACTGATGCACTTGGTTTTGAGTTATACTGTTTCAATAAGTCAATAATGCTTACGCAGAACCTGGCTGCATATGTGCATCGTTGCAACACTATATTAACACAGATAGATGAAATTACTAAGAGAAATCCCATGGTAGTGAAAGTAGTAATAGTATCATTGATAATAGAAAAATTTAGGCATGAACAATATGATTGGAGAAGAATAAATGAGTGAAATGAAAAGTATTAAACGATTTTAACACTAAAATCTCAAGAGTGGACAAAGAGTTAATGTACTTATACTATTGCGATCCATCCCATACCATGTCATTCAATGTTTCCAACCATTGGTTATGGTAATCGAGCAGACCAGGTACAATGTTTATGTGAAGGTTATCGATACTACCTGAACCAAACCCAAATTGGTAGATAAGGGTTTGAAACATAGAGAGCCATTAGTTAAAAACCTAGTATTTCCACCACTAAACTACTACGATTACTAAGTAATTGAAATCCCTTAAATGATTATTAGCCTTTAGCTCACTTAAAATTTTAAAATAAAATCGTGAAAAATTCATATTCAATCAAATTTAAGCAACTAAATAATACGCCCCCGAATACCCTGGTACAGCCGAGAGTGGGGAGTCAGCTTTCCCTCTCAAAATGTTCTCACATACCAGGGAAGTCCTACTCATTGCCTTCTCGTGGAGGGGTGGGGTGTTGTTTACGAAATTGAGAGGACGAAAACCGAATGTTCGGTGCTTTAACCGGGTCGGTGGACACGGTGAGTCCATCTAGGGAAGTTGTAAAATCATGATTCCAAACCAATGTTACACATGGGCTACAGTATCCTGAGGGAACGAATGGGGTATGAACCAATTGCTGGTCACCGTCTACCATGGGACTGCATCTCCTCACGATGCTCCACTACCTTGCGAATCAGATCTTTAGGTCAAAGGCTCCGGGTATGACCCCTAAGAAAATCACCTGTTTCAGTTTGGGAACCTGGGTAGTATTATAGCCCTCACACAAATCTCATTTAATTTGTGTGGCGCATAAGTATCAATATTGTACCAATATTTATGTGTTTAAATAAATAAGTAAAAATAATACATTAAATAATAGAATAAAAACATACAGCTTTTAAAATATTCTCTGCTTTATACGCAGAAATTAGTCGAAGACCAGCGGTAGCTCTTAAGATTACTGGAGTATTACGACATACATCAACAGGAAGACTAGTTTCAGCAATATTAATTAACTTTGTTAAACTTAATGCTGCCTCCTCTGGTTTTTCTGCATATGATGATAAACCAGGTTGAACATGATGAAATTTATCATCCAATAATGTAAACGGTTTGAAAGGATCTATAATAAGTAAGTGAAAGTAATAAGATATAAAAACGAAGGCAAACGCAAATGATATAACTACATTAAACCGAGAAAAAAAAAGGAATTCATAATTATTGTTTACTTTCTTGATAGATTATCGCAAGTTGAATTCTACTTTGTTTGCATAATTAGTGTTAAATAAATAATACAAGGAGTTAATGCATTTTGTATATTTCATCATTTGATAACACAAGTATTTTACGGGAAATTCCTGTTATATCCGGTGGAGAATTATGAATGGTAACTTTGAAGACTATTTATGAACCAAATGTGATATGTATATTTCCTATTGCATGGGGGTATGATGCTCCACTACCTTGTGAATTAGATCTTAAGGTCAACTATTGCATAGTTGTTAGATAACTAAACTATTCATATTCGTATCCTTTTTATTATGAGCTTTATTTTGACCCATAGACTATTATTGTACGATTTACCATTCCTGAGTTATCCCTAGTCTATTAATTACTGTTCCCCCTATTCACAGCCACATTTGGCCAAATCTTGTACAAATGTTATTTTCTATTTTTATGGTACGATGTGGTCTGTTTAATTGGTATATATACCCAGCATGTTTGAGAATAATGATTCATATTACAGAGGCTTTTATTGGTGTTCTGGACTTAACTGACTGGGCTAGGCAGAAAGCAGGGCTGTTAAGTACTCAAAAGACTGCTCATACAGCTTTAGTGTATCATTGCTCTGATCGATAATTCACTCCTCTCTGATTGGTGGGTATCATCACAGAGCACGCACTGAATCAATATAACAATTCCAATCTCTTTTTCTATTAAAATTTGAACCAACATCATCTGGGTACGATAAAAGTTAATTATTCGAGATACTACTGACATCTTACAACAACAACAACAAACTTTTGGACATAAAATTCTCATCAAATGACGAATAAACTAATTCTCTCAATCTTAATACCGGTTAGATTTTATCAACAAAATGTTTAACTTAGGGTGATGCCATAAAAAAAGTTTTCTGAAAAGTAAGTTATTTAGGTTAACATTTGATCAAATGAACACAATAAGACCGACATTATGAAGTCCAATTTTCACTCAACAAAGTTTCAATCCTATCATCATGCTCAGTATCAAAATAAAAATAAAATTAACTAAAATGGAACAGACTACTACTTTTTTAGAAAAAAAAACAGACAGGGACAGTTTATTTGTTTATTTAAACACAAAAAATTTGGTACAAAGAAGCACCAGATACATATGCGCCACACAAATCTCATTTGATTTGTGTGAGGGCTGTGATACTGCCCGGGTGCCCAAACTGAAACAGGTGGTTTTTATAGGGAGCCACGCCCGGAGCCTTTGACCTACAGGTCTGTTCCACAAGGCCGTGGACCATCGTGAGGAGATGCAGTCCCATGGTAGCCAGTGACCAACGATTGACTCATACACCATTTGTTCCCTCAGGAGTTACATGTTATACCAAGTTGAAAAGAGATCAGTTTTATAGTTATCTAACTGGATTAGTCATACCATTAACTGTAATAGTATTTTATTCCGAAAACGTATTAAATCCTACTGCTTTTTCCAACTTCTAGTTTAGTGAAAATCATACAAAATATTTTATAAAGACCCATTTTTCATTCAGTATATAAGTTGAAAATAAATCAAACACTTAAATCATAAATCAACAAATGCCTTGGAATCCAATTTGACATAATTACTACTTCATACTGTATAAAATAGACATTCTTGTTTATGCTATCTAGCATGACAACAAAACCCGACCGTTGCTGCTACCTTGACGTGGTGGTCGTGCATACCTATCGTGATGATTCAATCGAGCTATACTGGCTGAAACAATCGTTCCTCAAGGTCCTACCATGCCAGACAGGTCGGTTGAAGAGCGGTAAGACTAAAAGCAACAAACCAAAAGTCCGAAGGCGAAGTCGTACTGCCGACTGTACAGAGGTGTGACAGTAGTAAGGTGTTTCCTTCAGACAACCAATATGCCAGCGATGCTGTCTTCCCACAAGGAGGGGTGGGGTTAGAAAAGGTCGACCCTAAAAATACACACCTCGCTTTATCCCATGGATATCCGTCTCTGGCGGTAAGGTCCTTTGAAGAACGGAGCTAACACAAAAATTACCCATAAAAAGGTCGTGTGTGACCGACCTCAAGCAGTTGTCCCTTGGGTACTGCGGTCACGCTCTCGGGAAGTGATGAATGCCCTCATACCTCTAACAGCACTCAATATCACTGACTGACTGATTACAACAAAACGTCCAATAATTAAGCTGAAAAGACGAACAAAAGATTATTAGAAGTAACAGAATATCTTAGGGTTAATGAGTTTTTGACAATACGATATATATATATATATATATATATATATATATATATATATATATATAACATTTTTACATACCCAAGGGATTATGAATTAATTTGAATATATGAACACGGCTCCCAGTGCTTCCAGCATCAAACACAACACCATATACATAGTTTGTTTTTATTGTTGCTATGCCTGCTAATTGTTGTTTAATTATATTATTATTAACATTACTGTTATCACTTGTATGTCTCAAACGTGTTTTACTCCAAGGATATGGAGATATAGATACACCACCTGTAAATTTATTAACATGATTACATTGAAGTAGCCTACTAAACCATGTAGAATCAGATATGTAAAATGCTAACCATAAAAATAATAGAAGTGTAACACCGATGCATGCATAGATAACTCTTCTAAGCTGAAAATTGAAAGAAAAACAGAAGGGAGAGAGAGAAGAAAATCATACTGAATACAATTGTACAATCAAAAAAACAAAAATCAATGCACAACGAGTGAAAAATATGGGATCATTTAACTGGATGGTGAGATGTGACGAGAGAGATTTAGTACATAGAATTCAAACACTTCACTTCTACCCGAAGTTTGTGCTGATGATGTTGTCACTAACTTCTAGTCTGAGCAATGTTGTTAGATGCAGACTACCTGGTTGCGGTCCGCGTGACTGTCGTAACCAATGGTTGGAGACTCTGGGTGATATGACTCAGAATCGATCACAATGGTGTAGGTGTATACACTCTTTATCTTCCCTTAAACCTTGAGATTAAAATTGCTTCATATCTGTCTTCCTTGCTATACTATATCCTTATATACAACCTATCTTTTATATACTACCACCACTAAATTAACTATTTCTATGAATCCGGTGTTCATCTTGTTGTGCTAACGAGGTATGACAACTTGGACCGATACATAAATGTGCCTGGTCCTACGTTGTAACTGACTGATTGACAATTATTTGTAAACAGTTGTCTTCGCAAAATACTCAACACACACTTGCCGGATACTATCAGCAACAGCGTTTTATGAGAGAGGACAAACCAGCTTCCAGCTGAAGAGGAAATTAGGAAAAGACGTTGTAAGTGAATCGGACATACATTGAGAAAATCATTAAACTACATCACGAGGTAAGTGATAACTTGGAATCCTGAAGGGAAACGGAAAAGAGGAAGACTTAAGAGCACACTACATCGAGAATTGGAAGTAGATATGAAAAGGATGAAAGGATTATCCAGGACAGAGTTCTATGGAGAAGGCTGTTGGATGACCTAATTCTCTTTCACAATGGGTAACAGGAGTAAGTATAGGCAAGTGAATATTGCTTTTGAGTTTACAACGATTCTCGTCTAATTTGCTATGAAACTGAGAAATAGTTAGATCAATAAGGTTAAAACTATATATATATAAAGAAATGTAATTAAACTATTTAACGTACGATTCGATGATAGCTAGATCTTAAACACGATGAAGGTCGTAGACCAATAAATAAACGTTGATAATTTACAAAAGGTATCATTGATGTTTTGTCTGAATTACTGATATGATTACTCTCGTATTCTGTGTTTAAATATTCCATAATTTAATAAATTGAAATTTACCAATATCTAAAATATACAAGAAATCATCAGCGAAAGAGTGAATAAATAAATAAATTAGACACCGATCAAATGTAAATTTAAATAGAATGAAACTATTGAGTATATCAATATGAAGTACACAGAAAATAAGTAGATTTACTATATGGGTTATAGATAAAATAAAACCACGTGATACTGATCTGTGTCGATCAACTTATACACACTACATCAAAGAAATGGTCCAAAAAGGTTGACTAAACGAATAGCAATAGATGTGATGTAATACCTGCGCAGACTCTCTATCCACTTGAATGTGCAGACACTGAGAAAATGAATTTTTCTTTATGACTTAACCATTTACATAGGCAGTTCATCAGACAAATACCTTTCCACGATCATTTTAATAATTTACTAAAGAATTTAATTTCTGATAATCAATAGTAAGTACTTGTAGAATTCGGAGAGTAAGAATACGAGGCTAACGAACTGATTGAATGAGAGCAGTTTGGGTTTCCTAAAGACTGTGAATAAACCAACTACTTTTACATTTGTCGAAAATTATTTAAAAGCTGAAACTCGTATTTCATGACTGATTACTCCATTTTTATGTTATCTTACCATCAAATAATTCTCGGTATATTCAGGAATCACACTTTGTTTCTGTCAACTTTCATCATTTGTGGTGCGGATGAGACATCCGTTTACTGTCGGTCTAAGCCGTATGAATGAATGTAGTCTCTCTGGTTGGTGTCTGCGTGATAACCACGATCAGTGGTTGAAGATGTCTCAGGATCAGTTGAAATGGCGTAAATATATTCACTCTTAAACCCTGAGATTCATGACATGTCTTAACCTTTATTTCTTAAGTGACACGAAATCTTAGTTTTCAATGTTTAGTCTTTCTGACCACAACTACAACAACTACTTAATGGGTGTAAGACTGGAGATAATTAACGATTGTACTTGAGTAGCGTCGTTTTCCAATAATTGCTGAGAAATTATGCTATGGTAAGATTTGGTAGTGTGTACTTCAGTATAGCAAAAATTATGACAAGAGTTATTATCACTAACCACTGAACTAAAATACCGGGTTAGAGTGAAAAATACATTAAAAATCCCTAGATAAATCGAAGTTTAAAAACGAGCTTGTTAAATCAACAGAGTAATGACAACAATTTACTGTTTTTCACGATTTTCGATAGACTCATTGGCATATCAAACAATATGAACATATATGTGATACATCGTTTCCAGTACGAACATTAAATGGAACGATACCTATGTACACTAGAAGACCAGCACCGATTTCAAGACCGGAGAATTACAAATGACTTTCAGTAACTTTTCATTCCATTAACAACAGAGGAGCGTAGCTTAATGATTAAGCGATCACCTTTCAACCCCAAGAAAAAAAGGTTCAAATAACGCTTCATCTCGACTTGGTTCGAGCAAGCAGTGGTGAAACTAGTGATGCACTTTATAAACGAGTCACAAAAGGTCGTATTGATTTACGAAACAGTTTCAGGTAACTAATACGACAAATAAAATGTTCAAATGGTCAGAACCTATAGAAACGCTTGCATGGGTTAACAGAGTTAAGATAATAAGACAAAAAAGTAAATAAGTGTAAAAACAACTTGTTACCCACATATAACCGATTTAAGCCTTTGTTTCAATAAAAGGCTATTTGAATCACCTCTAAATGGCATTGACGATGTTAAGTTGTTAACCAAGACATTAATCGGGACTGGCTATCCACCTAAATTTATCAATAGATGGAAAGTTCAGGGCACAGTGAGACCTACTGTAGCCTTGGTACAGAAAAAGCCTGTCTACATCACCTTACCATTTAGAGGTGATTCAAATAGCTTTTTATTGAAACAAAGGCTTAAATCGGTTATCAACAAAACGTATTGTGCTGCGAAAGTCATAATCAAGGAAAGAACGAGGTCCATGCTTCATTCAAAACCTAGACGACATGAAAACGATTGTGTCACATCCCACTGCGTTTACCAATTTAAATGTGTGTGTGGTCACACATACATAGGGAGGAGCAATCGTGATCTGAAAATTGGGGTGAGTGAACATGTACCAAAATGGTTGCAAAAACAAATGCAGTCGAATGACCCGATAAGTGTAGAGGATAAACATCCATCATCCTCTATTGCTAAACATATAATCGAAACACGTCATAAGATTGATCTAAACTCGGCTTTTGTTGTGCTGTTTAAAAGTGTAAAAGGGCGTATACTAAGGTTTATTGAAGCCTTAGCCATACGAAAATTCAAACCCCCCTTGTGTATTCAAAAACAGTTTGTTCTCTCTTTAAACCTATCCTGGTAATATATGCTTATTATCCAGAGTGATTAGGTGTCAAATTGTTTTCACATTATTTTATCATTATTATCCTTGTCTATTCTTACCCCTATTTCCAGTCTAGTTGACCTTTTATTTTTATATATAAATGTTCTTAACGAGTATATGTGTGATCAGATTGTTCGAAATGTATTGCGTTAATATATCACATAGTTCTGATAATCTTCGTCTTCTCATTACATTATCGAAATTTATCAAGGGACTGATTGCTTTAACAGGTAATAAGCTCAGCATAGAGCCTTCTAGGGTTACTACAAGTCACAAGCTTGAGTAAATGGAAGTTGGGAGCCCCAACTCGTACAAAAACTGCTAAAATAACGCAAACCAGAGTAGATCAACTAATCCATCTAAATTCTGTCCTGCGATTGGAAGAGTCTTAATAGAGAAGAGTTACGATACCGCCACCTGAACTCTGAGTTTCATATGGTATGCTATCCAGTCTTGCGACTTTGCTACTCTTGATTTATCTGATGGCCATGCCAATTTCTTCGATTGTTGGGGTAGCATCCATAAGGAGGTGTGTGCTGCCTCGATGTTGTGTGGGTATAGTGGGGCTGGTCTATCCAAGGGCTTTTAATGGTGATCTACCCACCTGTTACACTACTCTTGAATCTCAGTGATTAATTTGCTTTGTTTTTCCTTGACTAGTCCCTGTAGTTTACTATATTTTACTGCTAGCTTCTTCATTGTATCATATAGTTGTCGCACCTTTCTTTCTGTTGCAGTTTTTTCTGTATTCATCGCTAGATCTTTTACACTTTTGTCTATCAGTTCTAATGCTCTTCACTCGTTTTTCTGCTTCTGCATATTCAACTTGTGCCTTAAATTTATCTGCGCTTGTTCAACTATTATCGATCTCCTTATTTTTCCTTTGTTGTGTCTTATCAAAAGTGTCCGTTGAGATTTACTCTTTATGCTGGTGCTTGTGGCTACTCAACATGTTGTGGCGTGTTGCAGTTATTTCTGTAATCGTTTCCAGTTCTTCACAGTAGTGTCTTTTAGTAGATCTTGTAAGGCTTGGAACCTGTTGTTTATTGTTATTGTGCTAAAACTAAGACTGAGACTAAGGAAGTACTGGACAAACGTCATTAAAAGAGTTTAATACAACCTTCCTTCGGGATGCTAACAGATCTAGTGAATTTGAGATAACAATAAACAACAGGTTCCAAGCCTTACAAGATCTACTAAAAGACACTACTGTGAAGAACTGGAAACGATTACAGAAATAACTGCAACACGCCACAACATGTTGAGTAGCCACAAGCACCAGCATAAAGAGTAAATCTCAACGGACACTTTTGATAAGACACAACAAAGGAAAAATAAGGAGATCGATAATAGTTGAACAAGCGCAGATAAATTTAAGGCACAAGTTGAATATGCAGAAGCAGAAAAACGAGTGAAGAGCATTAGAACTGATAGACAAAAGTGTAAAAGATCTAGCGATGAATACAGAAAAAACTGCAACAGAAAGAAAGGTGCGACAACTATATGATACAATGAAGAAGCTAGCAGTAAAATATAGTAAACTACAGGGACTAGTCAAGGAAAAACAAAGCAAATTAATCACTGAGATTCAAGAGTAGTGTAACAGGTGGGTAGATCACCATTAAAAGCCCTTGGATAGACCAGCCCCACTATACCCACACAACATCGAGGCAGCACACACCTCCTTATGGATGCTACCCCAACAATCGAAGAAATTGGCATGGCCATCAGATAAATCAAGAGTAGCAAAGTCGCAAGACTGGATAGCATACCATATGAAACTCAGAGGTCAGGTATACAAGTAGCTACAAATATGCCAAACGTTCTCTTCAGAAGAATTTGAAAAGAACAAGTACAAGCAGGCTAAGCAGGAATACCTCATCAGAATTTTATTACGTATGAGAACTACAGAGGCGTTACATCATCAGTAGCAGGGAAAGTTCTCAACAATGTCGCTGAACCGGATGAAAGATTCAGTAGACGCTCAGCTTCGAGATCAACAGACCGGATTCCGAAGGACCGGTTACGTACACATCAAATCATCACACTGTGGATCATCGTTGAACAACCAATTCAATAGAACTCGCCACTATACATCAACAACCTTGATTATGAGGAAACATTTAACAGTGTGGGTAGGATAAACTTATGGAACCTTCTTCGACACTATGGAGTTCCTGAGAAGATTGTCAACATTATCCAGAACTCATACGACGGACTACAGTACAAAGTGGTGCATGGAGGACAAATGATAGATACATTCCTACTGAGTTATGGGGACAGACAAGGCTGCTTACTCTCTCTATTCCTTTTCCTTCTTGTGACTGACTGGATTATGAAGACCTACACATCTCACAGGCAGCACGGAATACAATCGATTGCTCTGATACAACTAGACGATTTCGCAGATCACATAACCATATCATCCCATACACACCAACAAATGCAGATCGAGGCAACCAGTGTAACAGCAGTCTCTGCATCAGTAGGCCTCAACATACACAAAGTAAAAATCAAGATTCTAAAATAAAACACGGAGAACACCAAACAATCACACTCGATCGGGAAACTCTGGAATAAGTAGAATCTTTCACGCACGTATGAAGCATCATCGATGAACAAGGAGGATCTGATGCAAACGTAAATGCAAGGATTGGAAAGCAAGAGCAACATTCCCACAATTGAGGAACACATGGAAGTCAAAACAAACGTTATCCTGCATTAAAGTCAGAATTTCGAATACCAACGTTAAAACGCATTCGGGGTGAGCTGAGACTTGGAGAACTTAATTATTTATTTGAACGCATAAATATTGCTACAAAGTGGCTCCAAATACATAAGCACCACACAATCACAATAAGAATATGGAGAGAGAGAGAGAGAGAGGGGACATAAAGTAGAACAACAACGGACAGAAATTAGTGTATGAGTGTGAAATAACAATAATGGGAGGGGGAGTTCACTTAGCAAAGTATAGCCAGAGATAATTCTTCCAGTTAAAGAGATTACGTTCATTTTTATTTCTGTCTGGCCACAAATATTTATTTTTATTTGAACACAAATATTGGTACAAAGGGGCACCAAATACATATACTCTACACAATAACAATGAAAATGGGAAGAGATAAAGAGTGTAAGGTGAGTATAAAAGAAAAAAGAACAATGAAGACCACAAATTAGTATGTGGTAGTGAAAAAATAATAGTAGTGGGAGAAACAGAAAGGTACAACCAGAAAGAATTTTTTCAGTCAAACAAGTTATCATCACTTTTTATGAGGAAGGTAAAAGAAAGTCACATCACGATCGCCACTAGATTCTATTTCGAGCCATGTCTGATAGCATCTCAAGCCACTGTGTTGCACCGTTTCTAGGGCCCCAACTAGGGAGTCGTGAAGGACCAAAAGATCCCAGTCATGTACCTCTGACTGGTCACAATCTCTGATTGTCCCAATATATAAGAAGGGGCCAAAATCATCCTGAGATAACCATAGAGGGATTAGTCTGACTAACATAGCATCTAAAATATTAGCCTCAATAATTATCGGACGCCTAAGACTCGTGAACTGCAAACACGAGAAAATCAGGCTGGCTTCAGACCTGGTCGTGACTGTATCGACCACATATTCACCATTCGTCAAGTTTTAGAACACAGACATGCTTATCGGCGTCCGACAATGATAGTTTTTCTTAACTTGAAAGTAGCATTTGACTCTGTAGACCGAGAGGTTGTGGCAGTGTCTGTCATTAAAAAGTGTACCTCAGAAGTACATAAACCTTGTAAAGGCTCTTTACTCGAACACTACCAGTCAAGTGAGAGCTTATGGCGAACTGTCATATGATTTTACAACCTCAAGTGGTGTCCGTCAAGGTTGTCCACTATCCCCATTTTTGTTTAACTTCATTATAACTTCAAATAACACTCTCTTTGACTGAATTTTCAGGAATTGATCTTCTACCAGGAGGTTTACTTATCGACTTAGAATACGCAGGTGATATGGCTCAGAATCAATCACAATGGTGTAGGTGTATACACTCTTTATCTTCCCTTAAACCTTGAGATTAAAATTGCTTCATAACGTTTTTCCTTCCTATACTATGTCCTTATAAACAACCTTTGTTTTATATATAATAACACCACTAAGTTAACTAGTTCTATGAATCCGGTGTTCATCTTGTTGTGCTAACGAGGTATGGCAACTTGGACCGATGCATATATGTGCCTGTTCCTACGTTGTAGCTGACTGACTGAGTCATGTACCGCTTTCTTTCATAGCACGACACCATGTCATACATTGATCACCTCTCCGGTTTTCCAGACCAGTGTCGGCAAATAATGTATTACGTGAAATTCTCTGGGACGACATTTGTAGAACATGTACAAGCCACTGAAGTCGGTGTTTCAAGATAGTGACACCAAATGAATTATCAACGATGTGCCTGAACACACGATGCCGAACCTCTACATTACTAACATGGTGTTGCCACTGGATGTCAGCAATCCTTCGGAGACAACAATGATCAAACACACAGAGTCGTCTTACATCACCAGCTCAGAAGCTAGGTTTCACAAGAACAGAGCAAAACTGCTCTCGCCAATGCGTTGGAGATCTGACCTTTTACAATCAAACTAACACCACGAAGGTGCCAAAGATGGCCCAGATTGGCTTTCACTACACGTGAATTGATCTCATTAATCACGCAACCACCGGCACTTATGAAGCTACCTAGATACACGAACTTCTCCACTACTTCTATCTGCTCACCCAGGGTCAGTGCAGGATTAGGTTCCTGTCAGTCTCGTAAAAGTGCTTTGCACTTAGAAGGTACAAAGCACATACCATACGTACGGACACTGATTCCCAACTGGTTAAATGCGGATTGCATGGCTTGGGTGCATCGCACAGTAAGACAATATCATCCGCATACTTCAGGTCGACAAGTCTTTCTCTAGGCAACAGATCCACACGGCCATTCTCTACATTCATCAGAGCTATTTCCAGAACGTCATAGATAGCCAAGTTGAAGAGGAATGGTGAGATTGGGCGACTCTAACTCCAATGCTTGAATGGAACAATGGAGAGAGGTGGCTGTATGCCCTCACTCTGTCTGAGGTGTTCGTATGTAGGGCTGTTGAGATGCTAGTAAATATATCAGGCACACTCTTCTTAAATAGACAATCCCAGAAAACAGTCCTGTCCAACGAATCGAAGACGGTCTTAATGCAGAGAAACATTACGATCGTTGGCTTGTAATAAATATGACGGCGTTCTAAATTTGACGGAAGGTAAGCATATAATCAATACATTCTCTACTAGAATAAAAACCAGCCTGCTCCTCGTGAGTCAATCTTTCTCGGGTTTTGAACGACTTTCACCAAAAAGCAGGTATGTATGAACAGCTGTCAATGCAAGATACTCCAGGCCCATGTACCAGACATCATCAGCAATAACCTACTGCAACAGAGAACAAACCAGTTTCCGGAAGAGAAAATGAAGGGGCGCTGAGGGTAGATAGTACACATTTTACGTAGACCATTAGATTACATTACAAAGCAAGTACTGACTGAGTCTTCAAAGGAAAACGACATAACAGACAAAAGAACAAAATGTCCTGGGGATCGGATAGAGACGTCTAAATGATGAATAACAGTTGGCAACAACTGAAATAAAGAACTGAAGATAGAGTTAATTAGAAATCGCTGGTCGGTGACTTATGCGTCAAAAGGATCGGCTAGTCAGAAGCAACGTGGAACCTGGTACGTGTGCACATCAATTCTAGTTACCCTACTCTATTAGCAAAGTGTTAGGGCAAATCTTAGAGTAGTGGAGTCAGTAACAGTACGGGTGGTGATTGGAATAAATAGACATTGAAGATACGATAAAAGAAAATACAAAATAGTAAGATAAAAATGCGTAAAAGTTTATGAGGAATTCAAATGCCCACAATCTTGAGGAAAGCAATGGATAGACGCACATGTTCCCTTGCAAACGATTCAGAGCAGTGTCATTCAAAGTATTAAGCGTTGGCTACGAAAATTATGCGGACCATAACTAAGTGATCAAGGGAAGTAGGCTTGAGCAAGTAGGTGTGTAGCAGCTTATGATTTTAAAAAATCAGTAAGTTCAGCCGCATACTATGATTATAACGCCTATAATACTACGCTACACTAACGTCAGACTTTGAGTGTTATACGATTACGAAAATTCAAAAAGAAATGTAGAATAATTTATTTTGACTAGAATGAAGGAGCATGAGTGGTGGGCGAATTCGTCCGTATAAAACAAAACACGGGTTCAAAACTTCAACAATTGCGACTATAGCGTGGATGGAATGCGCGTAGCAGAGAAAAGAAACAATAAAAGTGTCTGAGCAACTCCGGACGCCACAGCATGTATCTCGTTGAATGTGATCCCCGTAGCCTTATACACACCCGCAACCACAATACCTGTTGTTAAAGTCATCATTTATGAAATTTACTTGTAATTAACAAGAATGATATCGTATTTAAAACCCCCATGACAAGTATGAAGACAGGAGCACATATCCTAGAAGATTTGTGCGCCCTCAAATTGTAAAATGCTACAAGAGAAGCAACTACGTGGATGAATATGTTGGAAGTTGCGGCCCATAAAAATATCCGGAATACGATATCTTGACTCATTAAAATTAAGTCTAAACTTACAAGAGAAATCCACAGACTCCGCGGGAAGGAAATCTGCACCAACATTCATCTTAACATCCCAAACCACCGCAATAAAAGGCCATTCAGTATTTCTAGATCTGATGTCAATAAACAAATAACGCTAATCCTTTTTTCAGAAAATTTTGAATTTCAGTTCCGTCTTTTTTAAGGATTGGCATCAAACATTTTACTGCATGTTGGTACCATAACAACTTCAGAGGAGTTAGTTTAAATTCAAATAGTTATGTGAGGAATACGAGAGGCTTACACTTAACGGGCTTTCATAGCTGTGGATCACCGATGCCTCCAGGTAGGGACCGGGTATGTTAAACGATAAAGGACGAAAAATCAGTAAACTATAGCGCGATTATGTTCTTTTTCCTTAAGCGCGTGTCAAGTTTGTTTCTCAAAGAGCTCCTGGGATGTTGCTTGGACTAGCACAGCCCGCAGCAAATTCCAGCATTTGACTACTAACAAGGAGCAAAGCGTGTGCTTACAGTTCTTTCTGCCGCGTTGTGTCTCAAATTTCTGTATGTTACGCCTAAATTTTGTGATGGAACTAAGCTTACGTAGGTGTTTAAAAGTATGTCCAGAAGTGTTAAGGATACTGTTCACCATTAGACGGTCAACTCTACAACACCTTCATTCAAATGGTTGTGGACGGAATAGAAAGAAGCTTTCACTTAACGGGCTTCCGCGTCTAGTAGCAGTGGATCACCAATACCTCCAGACAAAAACCTGGGTATATTAACGACAATAGAGGAGAAAAAGGAAATTTGTAAATCATAATAAGATGTCATTCTAAGTCCTTAAGAATAGGTCAAGTTTCCGCTTAAAGGACTTCCGGAAAGTCGCTTGGACTAGCTCATTCGGCAGCGAACTTCAGCATTTGACAACTCTTACGGAATAGAAGTTGTGTCTACAGTCTGTTCTTCTATGTTGGGTCTCCAGTTTCTGAGTGTTACCCCTTAGGTTTGTAGCTGTAAATAATTCCCCAAAATTAATAGCTCATTAAGTGTTCGATATTGGATGCTGACCATTATTTAAGTGAACTTGTTTAACTGAAGGCTTTCGGTCATGCATCCGTATCAGATCACGTTGCAACACGGCGTGGGACACAGCTCCTACCTTTCAATAGTTAGCTAAGAACGAACGCCTCTCGATATATTGGAAACGTATCACATATATCTTTCCTACCTCTTCTCGTCTGATTTCTGATTTCCTTTGGCCGGGAACGGTCGAATATAGAAGATACTACTGGTTGCTAGTTGTTAAACCAGAATACTAGTCGTATCCTCAGTGGTGAGCCCGACGTGATCTGGTACACTAAGCCAATAAATTGTGAGTCCGTTCCTTTTTGGAATATTATTATTCATTGTTATGATTTATTTGAATTTTATATATTGTGATATTTTTTCGCGAGTTTTTCCCGGATATATTTTAATTAGACATTTTCCATTCCTTATATTACTATGACGGAACACTCACATGGCCAAGAAGGTTTCGATTATAGAAGATACTACTGGTAGCTAATTGTAAAGTTAGAATACTAGCCGTATCCTCAGATTAGTGTTGTGACTAAGCTTAAGAAGAAGTTTGAGGGGATAACCAGACGTGTTAAGGATACTGTAAGTCATAAGAAGATCACCTCTAAGACTCCTGTACTCGAACGGATAAAGCTTAAGTGATTGGAGGAGCTCTTTGAATTTGAGTCCCCGGACTGATTTAGTGGCTCGACGTTGTATACGTTCCAGAGTGTCCTTATCGTTTTGGAGGGAGGGAGGAAATACTATGTTTCCGTACTCTAAGTGGGGACGAATAAAACTGTTGAAGATTATATGGAAGGTTATACCGTCAAACTGGCCAAAAATGCGCTTCAATGTTACCAGTGCAAGGTTTGCTTGAGAGGCGTTTTTGTCACAGTTCGCATACGATTTCAGGTCGTATGGGAACCAACATTCCTAAATCTTTTTCAACTTGGGAAACTTCTAGAGGATAGTTACCTAAGTTATAACTATAGTCTGCAACATGTCTCAGATGGACTACCTTGCACTTTGAAGTGTTGAAGGTAAGTCCGTTGTCCTCTGCCCAACTTTGAAGTCGGGTCAGACCCTCCTGAAGTGCTAGTATGTCCTCTTGGTTACGTATCTCTCTCCAAAGTTTCACATCATCAGCAAAAAGCAATAAGTCAGATGAAACTTGTTGAGGAAGATCGTTAATATAAATCAAGAAGAGAAGAGGTTCAAGTATTGAGCCCTGGGGGACCCCACTAGGACATTCCATAGCCTGAGAGAGAGTGAAGTTAACCGTGACCTTAAAGTGTCGGTTTTCTAAATATGAAGAGAGCCAATCAATCAAAGGGGGTTTTATACCCAATCGTCCAAGCTTCTTGATAAGACATGCGTGGTTAACCCTACTGAATAGTGACGAAAAACCAGCAGTTCTTGAAGTAGGCAATACAAGTGTACTTCTCAAAACTGATCTCACTGATAAGGCTTTTCCTTGTTCTGCAATTAAGGTAGCAAATAACTCAACTTTACCTTCGAGCAATTTTATACCAGATGCTGTATGTATCCCCCCTTCATATGACGGATCTTTATATAGACCATAAAGTATAGTAATGAGTCTTGTCAGGTCGATAGACCTGAAACAGGTATGGATGTTAAGGGTTGCCGACCTACTGATGTCTTCCCGACTCACGATCAGAAGCGTGCTAAGATGGACTTGAATAGTTTGGATGAAACAATTGACTATGAGCTGCCATTCGCACGAACCGATGAGCCATGTGAAGGGATGTTTTGTACTTACTTGTAGAGCACAAGAGTCTACTGTTACGTCCTCACCAAATCTTAGAGTTATTACTCCTAGTTCTGAACTTATAAATTTTCCGACAATTTCTCCAGCTCCGTATACTCACTCCAACAATTTGAATCCTCCCGTGCTTCAAACGTGTAGAACTCAAACTGTGTTTCAATGGTGTCTGCACCATTTATGCAGTGATATATGGTTCATCAAACACATGGGATTACTCAGTTATCATCAAATCCCTTTCAGTGTGTCTATGTTCATTATTAGTGTTTCTTTCGCCCAGTTATGCACAGACTCTTCCTCGATTACTGTATTTAGGGTTTCACAGCGTCAGTCGACTTCCAACAACAAATACACAGGTCTTCTTTAATCCCAGCATGTTACATAGTTTTCGAAATCATCAAGGGCAACAAGCTCATTTTACAATACCACATTCCATATTGCCTACTGCTTCATTTCAACGAAAAATTATTCCAATTTTTTCTCCAGTTCCAACTAGTGTCTTAGAAAACGTTGCTAATCAAGTTGCCAAACCTTGAAATAGCAATATAACATCCTATCCACCGATATCCACTCAACCAGTTTCCATTACCCTCCAAATATTTCTGTTTTCTGTTCTCTTCGATCCTTGCTTTGTGACACTGTTGGAACACCCGTGTATTTAAAAGCTTCAGGTGACGTGAAGTACTCAGTACCTGTTCCTCCTGATACTAGCGATCAAAGCTGCTCACAAACAAATTCCTCGGTATCTCGTTGATGACCGGACGGACATTCTTCGGGGTTGACAGTGCGATCAAGTCACCAGTTGATTTCCATACAATACTTGGAATGTTCAGCTTTGACCGTGACGCCTGGTCCGTTTTAATCCTGTTATCTTGCCCTAGTGCAACATGCGAAAGAAGCGACTAGGCACAACTCGGTCTCTTATATTGACTCCCAATGAGGATGATGTTGCAAACCTGGATTACATGCCAACCCTAGGCAAAAATGATCATGCAGTTTTAAGCTTTGACTTCCATATAACAGTCGATCACGAGCACGCGTCAGCTCAATCCAGACCTAACGTCTGGAAAGCAAACATAGCAGACATCATGAAATCAGCATCACCAGTAGATTAGAAAATAGACCCAAAGTCATCAATCGAAACTGCTTGGGACGTATTCCGGAATTTATACTTAAAAGTTACCGCCCCCCACATCCCTTGGACTAAACCTAAGAGACCGAGAAACTCCCTACCATGGTTCAGTAAGGAGGTTCGCATCCTTCTCCGTAAAATAAGGAAAATGTGGGACAGATTTAGGTTACTGGGGACTGGCGAGGCAAAATCTCAGTATCAAAAGGCTCGAAATACCTGTGCCTCAACCCTCCGTAAGGCCAGGAAGCTGTACGAAGAGAAAATCGTTAGGGAATCCATAGAATGCCCTAAACGCTTGTATTCGTATATAAACCAAAGGACAAAAAGAAGAAGAAATGTTCCTTCACTATGGGGAGACAGTACTGCCACATAACTAGTGGAGGACGACTTTGGAAAAGCTCAAGTATTCTCTAAATACTTTAGCAATGTACCATAGAAACACCCTTCTCACCAGTCCATGAAAATCCCCCCACACAAACACTGGACAGCGTGACCATTAAAGAACTCGATGTATTTGGTCTGCTAGTTAAGCTTGACATAGGTAAATCCACTGGACCCGATGAACTGCATCCTAGGTTATTAAAGGAATTAGCTAACTTTGTTGCGAACCCTTTAAGTGTATGTTTTAATCTATCCGTAACCCAGGGTCGTCTACCAAAAGACTGGAAGAACGCCATAGTAAGTCCAGTCTTCAAAACAGGTACAAAACATAAGCCTGAGAATTACCGACCAATTAGCCTAACTAGTGTGGTTGTTAAAATCTTAGAAAAGATTATTCTGAAGGAACTGTTAAAGTATCTCGATGAAAACCGGATCCTCTCCGAAAAGCAGCATGGTTTTAGAACAGGTTACTCTTGTCTCACAAACTTATTAGTCGCTCGTGAAAGCTGGTGCGCTCTTAAGGACCAAAAATTACCTGTAGACGTAGCTTACATCGATTTCAGCAAAGCTTTCGACAAAGTTCCGCATAACCGGCTGTTATATAAGCTAAGGAATGTCGGGATTGGAGGCAATCTATTGATGTGGATAAAAGACTTCCTAGTTGGGCGTCAACAAAGAGTAAGGGTGAACTCCAAGTTGTCTAGCTGGGAAACTGTGCTTAGTGGAGTCCCCCAGGGTACAGTTTTGGGGCCAGTGTTATTCCTCCTGTACGTAAATGCTCTCCCTTGTCTACTATCATCATCGGTCTTACACTATGCTGATGATGTCAAAATATGGAGAGCGATACAAAGCAAGGGCGATAGCTTAGAACTTCAAAACGACCTGGAGAGATTATCTGAATGGTCGTAAACCTTGCAATTGACGATAAACTCTTCCAAGTGTATTGTGATGCATATTGGCCACCAGGGTACAGATACATATATGATGAATAACACTGAGTTACCTATTGTTCAGGCACACAATGACTTAGGCGTCATCGTCAGTCAAGACTTAAAGACTTCTGAACACTGCCGTGCAATAGCCGCCAAAGTTTTTAGAGCTTTATGGTCCATACCCACGGCTTTTAGGCATCTTGACGCTAAAACGTTTTTGACTTTGTATACAGTGTTCGTACGCCCTAAACTTGAGTACTGTATACAAGCAGCTAACCACTGCCTAAAAAAAGACAGTAAACTCTTGGAAAGGGTTCGGAGAACAGCAACTAGGCTGATTCCCGGAATAGCGAAGCTCCCGTATGGTGCTGGACTGACCAAATTAAACCTATTCCCGCTGTCATATAGAAGAATCGGAGGCGACTTGATTACAGTTTTCAAGTTGCTTAATGACAAATTTGCACCTGATATACCCTCATTTTTCTTGTCTTCCGAAACAGAAAATCTACGAGGACACTCCGAAAACGTTCACAAGCCCAGAACGAATTACTTATCAGCTGCCTACCGACTTTCCCATCGAATAAACAACGAGTGGAATTCATTACCTCAGCACGTGGTAGAGGCTCCATCCGTCGACTCCTTCAAAAGAAAGTTGGATCAGCTGAGAGACCATCATTGCCAGGACTAACACAGGCCATCAAGCCTCCTGTCCTTTCCAAACTGAAAATTGAAACTGATCAAGCCTCCCGTTCTTTTTCAAACTAAAACTGAAGGTCACTTGGCCAGCGCTCAAAGGTCGTCCTTAAGCTATAATCCCAGCGGTTTCAGTGGATCAGTTTTCTTTCTGAGTATCTTTTTCATTAATAGTTATCTGAGGTTTGATCTGGGATAAATCTGCTTTTTTGATTTCTTACGGTAAGAGGTTATTATTAATATATTTCGAGCATTTATACCATTAGTCTTGACAGATTTTTAAAAAAAATGATATACCTTTTATGCCTATTCGCTCAACAACTTATACCTCATCATAGTCACTAAAACACCTGTGAGCGACATAACCATGGATTTGCCATCATCTTTGGTATACAATGCCTCAAATACACAGGGTACACACACAGGGTACTGCACCCTTGAAATTTCTTAAAGCTTATGTCTTGTAAGTAATTCATTCGGTCATTCAAACGTATAGTCTACTACTAAGGTTGCCCGACGAGCAAACAAAAGACGGGGTAACCCGAACCACAGTCCTGCAGTGGGACAAAGGGGACCCCAACCTCTACGTACCCAGAAACCTAGGAAATTATTCAAGGTTTATGATAATCCCTCAACAGTCATGAATCCAGGAGGCCTCTTTGATACTCTTTTCATTTTACAAGACAAAGATGGTAGGATGTTTTGGTAGGATTTAAATGAGGATCTCAAACTTTCTGAAGTTGAAATAACGGTCGTACAACTTACCCGAGGCAATGATACGAAGCCTCAGAGACTCAGCGTTACATTCACAAATGCTGACGGCTTGTTGGATACTTTACTTTTCGGTTAATCGCCCAATTCTTAGAGATATATGAGATTGTTGTAGGAAATGCAATCTTTGGAGACCACGTCCGCCAGTATCCTCTACTTACTTACTTACTTACTTACGCCTGTTACCCCCAATGAAGCCTAGGCCGCCGGCCAACATTCTCCGACCCACTCTGTCCTGGGCCTTCCTTTCTAGTTCTATCCAGTTTTTGTTCATCCTCCTCATGTCCGTCTCCGTTTCTCGGCGTAATGTGTTCTTTGGTCTTCCTTCCCTCCTTTGACCTTGAGGATTCCATGTGAGGGCTTGTCTTGTGACGCAATCGGGTGATTTATTCGATGTGTGTCCTATCCACTTCCAGCGCTTCTTCCTGATTTCTTCCTCCACTGGAATCTGGTTTGTTCTCTCCCACAGTAGAATGTTGTTGATTGTGTCTGGCCAATGGATCCGAAGTACTTTGCGTAGACAACTGTTAATAAACACCTGTATCTTCTGGATGATGTCTTTCCTAATTCTTCAGGTTTCCGTCCCATACAGTAGAAGGTAGGAAAATATATGACACATTTATTACCTATCAGACTGTCTACTAGTCTGATTAGGTAAATCACTATTTTCTTCGTCCATACACCAGAATCTTTATTGACTGAGTCTTTGGGAACTCGCGTAGCGTATGTCCAACCACTGTCTACTTCAACGCATGACGTTGCCTCGAGTAGGGGTAAGTTGAAAAAATGCTAGGGCACACCGTAGTGTCGAAGAAGCCTCTATAGTGTTGTCCTGTCCACGCTATCAAATGCTTTTTCTTAGTCAATGAATTTGATGTAGAGTGATGAATTCCATTCGATTCACTGTTCCTCAATGATACGTAGAGTTGCGATTTGGTCTGTACACGATCTATCCTTACGAAATCCAGCTTGTTGATCTCGAAGTTAGGAGTCTACGGAATCCTTCATTCTGTTTAACAATACCATATTGAAGACTTCCTGGTATTGAGAGAAGAGTAATGCCCCTGTAGTTATTGAGATCGCCTTTCTTTGGTATCTTGATCAGAAGTCCTTTTCTCCAATCCGTTGGTAATTGTTCTTCATCCCAAATCTTACTGAAGAGGATGTGGAGTATCTTGGCAGTTGTTGCTATATCTGCTTTCAGTGCCTCTGCTGGAATGTTGTCTGGTCCCTCTGCTTTGCCGCTCTTGATTTGTCTAATGGCCATGCTGATCTCTTCAATTGTTGGTGGGCCAACATCGATTGGGAGGTCTGTAGGTGCTGCTTCGATGTTGGGTGGGTTCAGTGGAGCTGGTCGATTCAAGAGTTCTTTGAAGTATTCTACCCACCTGTTTTGCTATTCTTCAATGTTAGTGATTACTTTGCCTTCCTTGCTTTTCACTGACCGTTCTGGTTTGTGGTGATTTCTAGAGAGCTTTTTTGTTGTATCACACAATTGTCTCATGTTTCCTTCTCTTGCAGCCTTTTCCGCTGTCATTGCTAAATCTTCCACATATTTACGTTTGTCGGCCCTGATACTCCTCTTCAGTTACCTGTTTGCTTCAATGTATTCAGCTTATGCCTTGGTTTTCTCTGCTCTTGTTCGGCTGATATTGGTTGCTACCTTCTTGTTCCTCCATTCTTTAATCTTATCCAGTGTACTAACAGTGATCCATTCCTTGTGATGATGCTTCTTGTAGCTCAAAACCTCCTGGCATCCTCTACTACCTTCCCTCATAATGTGACGTGGTCAGCATAAAATGTCACCAAAGGTTCAGTGACATCAAATATAAATAAGTACGGGCCTAGCTCTGAGCTCTGTGTCACTCCAATAAGTACGGATCTCCAAGAATTGGTTACTTTATATCATGTAATTATATTTAATAGTTATCATGTGAGAAGTCACCTCACTGTTTCTTTTAAATTGTGTTAATATTTTAGTATTTAAATGCTTCTAACAAGTGTCCGTTATGGACGTTTCATACCCTGGAAATCAGTTCCCGGTAGCGTTTGGGGTGGTAAAGAACGTAAAATCCCCCGTCTAACTAATGCGCGTAAAGAAGCGTTTTTGGATGAGCTTCTTATTTCCCGCCAAAACCATATGTACCTTCAGAAACCGTATTTCAGTGAAGAAGTTGAAGCTGCTACTCTAGCTGATGAGAAAGTGAGTTCCCACTTATTTTTCTTTTAGTTCTAAGGTATTTAGTAGGAAAACATGTTTCAAGTCTTTAAATGTAACTATGAATTCTAAAATAATTTCCATTGGGTATTGCTAACCTGAAAGCTAAAATTAGTGCAACTTAGTAACTTCTATTTTGTTCACGGATAGAACAGTTCCGTTCATTAGGCTGTATGGAAAGCCTTTTTGTGTTTAAATATAGTTGAACTTACTCAAGGAATTTTTCTAAAGTTGCTCTGAAATTATAAGTGCACTAGTGAGGAGGTAAGTCGAAAAGTGGAAAAAAATTAACTCAGTTTATGGATTTTCTTTCATACTTTGGTTGAACTTGATGGGTACTCATATTTCTACAAGGCCACATAAACGTGAACTTTTGTTTGTCATTTTAATCGTCACTTCACTTATTTTTTGTACTACTCTTTCTGTATGGTATTATCTATAATTGAAATCTCTTGACATTCGTTGTGTACAATCCAATAACAAGTGGTGTATTACTTTTGACAATTTATGCCCACCTGATTGATTGAAGTTAAGCTTACTAGTTCTGCAATTTTCACGCTTGAAACTTCTCAGATAATACATAGTTAGGACTAAAAGTTCTTCCTATTCACCGATCAATCAACTAAGCATTGGATACGAAAGTTGAGAAACTTTTAGATAATTAAGTGACATTGAGGAAATTGATCACTTCAAGTTCCCGGTTGCGGTTGATTAGTACTATTATGTTTAACACCAACAGTGCACATCAAAACTCAGGCGTCTATTTGATTATTGGGACGTAGTTTAAGGTAATAATTCATTAGCTACTGTTTGAAAATCCTACACTGTTTAAGTCAGTTAGAGGTTATGTCATTACTAAATCTTAACTTCTTTTCTCATTATCTTAAATGTTATACCTTTAATTTTATACTTTCAAATTCAGATGCGTGAATTACAAATGGAAGACAAGTTTTTCTATGATCGATACGCTAAACAATTTGATCGTCGTTTTCCTACGCGTAATCTGGAAACATTTTGGGATAAATTGTCAAGAACTAAACGTTATGATGTTTGACAAATTAGGCATGATGATGACATTTGTTTTATGAGTTCTTGTTTTCTCTATAGTTTACATTACAAACTATACACTTATGTATATATATTCAAATGACCATAAATACTGAAAGTTCCTAGATGACATTTTTCAATAAAACGTCCACTTAATCATGCACTTATTTTTCGTATAAATTTCTTTCATAAATTTTTATTATCAACGAAAAGAACTAGAGATCGCTGAACAAATATCACCTGTTTCTTCAAGGTTGTTTGATAGTGCTTATCTTGTACTTGTCTTGGATTCAAACCTAGCTTCTTGAGTCATTTCCCGATGTTTATCGTTTCTATTCCTAAATCACTTTCGTTTACCCCGCTACCATTCTGTCTTAGTTAGTTGTGGCTCAAAACCTCAGCTTTCTATTGTAATGTCGTACAATTAAATTTATAGAGTGTTAGATTTTTAAGTACAGTCGACCACTGGGCAAATTAATCAATTGTTTTATTGAGATAATGAATCGAACTCAACAATCTCCACAACCCTATAGTGATAATCAGTTTTTGTAGGTTGTTACACTTAGTCGAACACCTGTGTGTATGTTTGCCATTAATTTGTAGTTGGGAACCAACCACATAAATTCAGACCAAGAAAATTTGGTGACTAAGTAATGACTTGCTGGGAAGTAAAAACGTTCTGTAACTTAATTTAAATCACTTTGCCCTGGTATGGCCGAGAGTGGGGAGAGTCCGCTCTCCCTCTCGAAATACTCTCACATGGCCATGCGTAATATAGCCTCTGCCAGGGAAGTCCTACTGACTGCGGAGAGTCGAATTGAGCTTTAGTGACAAAATGTCACGCTCCGGTAATTAACGTCAAGCCAACGTCAAGTCTAAACAAATAACTAGATAATTTGATTTCTGAGATAGCATACAATAAGTAAGTATCGTTATCGAAGATTAATTTAGCGAAACGAAGTAGCTGATTTCTTTGTTTATTGTTCATATCAAATCTGCTGAGATGTATACCTACACAGTTGACGGTAATTTAAACAATAAACAACTAGAGGTCAATTAGTTTGAAGGTTATTGAGGACTTTTTGGAACTTGGCCACGCGTACATAGTCTCTGCAAGGGAAGTCCTACTCACTGCCTTCTCGTGCCACAGGTGTTGTTTACGAAATTGAGAGTACGCAAAGCGAATGTCTGGGTTGGTGGACACGGAAAGTTCACTCAGGGGAGTTGGAAAACCTGATTTCAAACCAATGGTGCACATTGGCTCCAGTATCTCGATGGAACATATGATGTATGAATCGATCGTTGATCACCGGCTACCATGGGACTTCATCTCCTCATGATGCTCCACTGCTTTGTGGATCAGACCTTTAGGTCAAAGGCTCGGGGTGTGACCCCCTAAGAAGACCACCTGCTTCAGTTTGGGCATCTGGGTAGTTTCGAAGCCCTCACACAAATCAAATGAGATTTGTGTGGCGCATTTGTATGTAGTGCTTCCTTGTACTAATATTTATGTGTTTAAATAAATAAATTCTGTAACATTAATGGATCCCTATCTTGTTTTTTACCGCGACAGATACATATTAATATACTTACAGATAAGATGAAAGTTCGTGTTAGAAGGAGAGGTAAGTTTCTTTTCTCAATCAATTCTATAGTGGGCTGTATGATGATTTAGGTATATTGGTCGTTAAATGGATATTCTATCGAAAAGGAATTAAAAACATGGGACTGTCATGTTAAAAAAAGAAATATCAATAAGTATGCATGGTATAAACACAAGTCAATCGGCAGAAAATCTACTCATCGTTCAAAGCTATCTAGAGGATGCATCATCATGGCTTCTATCATATAAGCGAACTTATCTAATTTCTGTTCCTATTATGACCATAGCCTTTAATTTTTCAAATTCCCCCTCTTATCTTCCTGCTTTCTAACCTTTTAAATATAAACCTTTGTATTTTAGTTTCCTTGTGTTCTTTGGTTACACTTCATTTCAGATTGGTCTATCTAATCTTTGTAACATTCTTAGTTGGTTTTTCACATTCTATGATAATCCATTTCCCGAACATTGTTCATTCATCTTTTGAATTTTCACTATTATATTCACTCGATGACTAGTTTATTTATCACATAACAGTCCCTGTTTTTCTACCAGTCATGGTGGAAATATACTCAAATCAGTAATCATTATTTACAATAACATTTATCCTGGTTGATTACAAGATATTAATCTTGAAAACTTGAATAGTTCTCTCTTTAAATAATTGACATAATTATTTCGATAAATCTTTGATGGATAATGGCTCGCAGTGGAATCCAGGACGCAGGTTTCGTCCTATCTGGGATTCGTCAGCTGGACGTACCTGCATCACAGAGTTGATGTTCACACTAAGACTCGAACCCAGTACCGTTCACTTCAAACGCCATAGCGTTATCCACTCAGCTACTGAGTCCTGATAACCAAAGCTTGTGAATTAAGGCTATATCGAGGCAATCCTCATAGTATGCAAATATGCAGTCTTAAACATCAATGGGAAGATTCAAGCAAACAATACAAAGTGAATAAATCTTTGAGTTTATTATATTTTCACTTGACAATTTCTGACTAATAATCACTCTAATCTTATTGTTTTATGATAGTGACTATATAAGGAATCCTAAAAAGGAAGTCTAATGAAATTCTGCTTTTTATGCAGTGGATATCAATTAAATCACACTTGCTTTTACAGTTTCAATGAAATATATCCTCAACTATTTTTGAACAATTATATTTTAGTGGCCCTACATTTGACTTCAACTAAATCATACGAATGGGCGAGACTATTGTTTATGGACGAATCAATCAGAATTAAAATAGAAGGTCTTAGATTTGGGCGCGAGGTTTATTTACTCATTTGGCTAAATACCTTTTCGGCATTGATGCCAGTTCGTGGTGAAAACATTAAATATGATTCCTAACCCTAACATTCAACTGTAAATCCTAATCCTAGTCCTTCGCACTAATTTTTAACCCTCATTCAACTCTAGTAAGTAGATGGGTATTTTTCATGGTCATTTTATCGTTGCCTAAAGGTCTTCCATAAATGATAGTCTCACCGCGGAGTTAAATAAGTCAAATACGAGCATGGATTTCTAATATGTATATTTTGTACAATCGTTAATCGAGACAAACGATCGGAGAAATGGTGCGAAGCGAAATGAAGGTGACGTGTGAACCAACGCCATTTAGTCAAGCGTTAATCAATATATATAGTTACACAAAAATAAGCTACAGACATGTGATGAATAGGATGAGAAGTGTGTACACACATATACATCCATATAAAAACAGACATGGTTGATAAGTGAATAATTGACAAGGTCAAAATGTGTCTCAGGAAGAATGAATAAATTGGCCTGTCCAGAAGCTAGAATAAAGTATATGGGCTTAACATGTCAACCGACACAACAACATTTACTGTACAACAAGCATTCAATTTCCCATTAAGCACATGACCTGTGACATAAACTAGTTTTAAAACTGAATCATACCCATAAAATATCTTATACTGATGATAATCTTACGTTTGAAGGATGACAGGAATAATTGTAACAACAATGCATAATAAGGTTCTCTCCGAACCATAACTTCTCCTAAAGGTATGTTTTGTAAACAATATTTATTAAGAGACCAAAGTAGGTTTATTTACATCTAAATCAATTCATTTGTTATGGTTGAAATCATAAGTCAATTGAAGCTAGATCACCATGGAAAATCTGGAAGCACTGGGCGACCGTGCGAATCTCGCGGGACGGGGTCGTGGATGCGCACTACTGAGGAGTCTCACAATAGGACAAAACGGCCCTCCAGTGTATATATATATATATATATATATCGTTATCATTGATAACTTTTTGTCATTCCAATCCTTCACATTCACTTATATCGATTGTTCCAAACTATTTATCTCAATATAAAATTCTAATACATATTTGGTTGTAAGTAGCTGACGAGAAACCACGAAATATAATGAATTCATATTATTCTGCATCAATATTTGTTTTGGCTTTATTTAAATACAAAGGAATTATCAGAAGAGGGTTTGTGGAGATTTTAGTAATTTTATAGTTGAAGTCATGAGTCAATTGAAGCTAGATCACCATGGAAAACCTGGAAGCACTGGACGACCGTTTCGTTTTAGTATGAGACTCCTCAGCAGTGCGCACCAGTGGAGTTAGCCAGGTCTGTTGTGAGATAGTAACTCGCTGAAGACAATGGTGAATGGTTGCTCAATTTCGCGGTTTGGTTGAAGTAAAACATTAACACCGTTGGATGCCGGCCCGCTCAGTGGTCCAGATGTTAGGCGCTCAAGCACGAAACTGAAAGGTCCTGGGTTTGAATCTCTCGAGGTGGGATCATGGATGCGCACTGCTGAGGAGTCCTGTAACAGGACGAAACGGTCGTCCAGTGCTTCCAGTTTTTCCGTGGTGGTCTAGCTTCAATTGACTCATGATCTCAACTATATAAAAAATTTAAAAAAAAAATACATAGGTGTTTGAAACACTACTATATCGTGTGAACGATGAATATTCTCTCTAGGTTCTCAGATAATACATTCAAATTAATTATTTAAATACATAAGTTACTGGATATTAGTAAGTAGTATAACTTGATAAACAAAAAAAGAATGTAAGAACGACCGAAAATGACGGAGGAAATTAACGGCATCTATGAGATATTCTCTTTGTATACGAGACTAAAGTCAAGTTTTCGAGAAATTGCAATGAATCTATTCTGACATGAGAATTCATGCGGCTTGCTATTCTACGAGTTTGATATTTTTTATTGAGAATTTATCTACTCGGTTTTATAAGTTTATAACTGTCGTTGTAATGAACGAAAACTCAGGTGTTGACAACCAATTGTATTTTAATACAAAATTACAGAGTCCTTTCATCAAATGTGCAAACCATACATTCAACACTTCATTAGAACATCATCCATCGATTGTCTCAAACTTCATCGTCCCTTCATTACTATAACAAATTACTCTCTGTTCCCATTATCTTCTATTCAATCTTCCCAACCTTCTGCTGGTGTTATATACTATATATATCGACACAAGTAGTATACAACATATCGTCAGGAATTATATTTGTGATTTTCGTCACGAACTGACATAAGCAAAAATGCACAAACGCTACTTAGACGAAGGGATGAATGAATTTCGTACCGAAATCCGAAACCTTTTATCGTAAATGTGATTGGTTCGTCCGTAATATATAGTCTCGCCAATTCAAGCATTAGGACATTGTCTTGATTTACAAACCAAATCTAAAATAATGAATATGTATAACCTATATCATAAGCAAATTTAATTATTTAGAACTATTAATAATTACTCAGTAGTAAGTACGATAGTTCGAAGATTGGTTAATTAAAGTAAGTTAAAATATTCCAGTTTCTCTTTCTCCTGGTGATCTGCTGGATTATGAAGACGTCAGCATCTGGAGGAAAGCACGGGATATAGTGGACAGGTAGGATGCAGCTGGACGATTTAGACTTCGCAAATGATCTGACTCTTCTATCACACACGCAACAACAAATGCAGGAGAAAACGACCAGTGTAGCAGCAGCCTCAGCAGCAGTAGGTCTCAATATAAACAAAGAGAAACGCAAGACTCTCCGATACAATACAGCATGCACCAATTGAATTACACTTGACGGAGAAGCTTTGGATAATGTGGAAACCTTTACATATCTGGGCAGCATCATTGATGAACACGGTGGATCTGATGCAGATGTGGAGACGCAAATCGGCAAACAAGATCAGCATATTTGCAACTGAAGAACATCTGGGATTCAAAACAATTGTCAACCAAAACCAAAGTCAGAATTTTCAATATAAATGTTAAGACAGTTCTATTGTATGGAACGGAAACCTGAAGAACTATGAAAACCATCATCCAGAAGTTACAGGTGTTTATTAATAGTTGTCTACGCAAGATACTTCGGATCCGTTAGCCAGACACTATCAACAACATTCTACTGTGGGAGAGATTCCAGTGGAGGAAAAAATCAAGAAGAAGTGCTGGAAGTGGATAGGACACACATGGAGGAAATCACCCAATTCCACCACAAGACAAGCCCTCACGTGAAATCCTGAAGGCCAAAGGAGAAGAGACAGATATGAGAAGAATGGACAAAACTGGATAGAACTAGAAAAGAAGGCCCAGAACAGAGTACGTTGGAGAAAGCTGTTCGGCGGCCTATGATCCATTGGGAGTAACAAGCGTAAGTAACTAAGGAAGAAAATATTCCCTTAAAAATAATACTAGTTCTATTGGATTTGTAAAGTATTTATTCAATTAAATCCTTGTCACTTAACCTAATCTTAAACTGTAATGAGTTCTGTATTTGCTATTTCCCTACAATTACACTTTTGATATGGTTGATAAAGTTATTCATCCTTAAGGAAATGGATGCTCACTGCTGAGTTGCACGCTAGAATGAAACGACCGTCCAATGCTTCCAGATTTTCGATGATGATCTAACATTGATCGACTAATGAAATCAACTATTAAATGATTAAATGTTTACCATTAAAAAAAATCTGTGTCAAATCCAAATCCATTTCAAGATTCAAATTAACCAATCAATTACTTAGCGTTTTTTTAGCGAGTTGGGGTAGCTAACCCCATACCCAACCCTCCTCGTTTATCCGGGTTTGGGACCGGCAGTAAACCCCGGAGGAGCTACAGGCGGAGTTAACTAATCAATTTTATGAATTAATTAAATCGTCTATCGGTGATTAATATGATTGGTTCTTGAATAAATATTATGTATGAATTGAGTTTGTATTGTATCTATCAATTAAAAAGGAAGATCTACTGAATCATTAAATCAATTTAAATCTGTATAGAAAACCTAGGTGTTGGAGCTTGAGATGGTAACTATTATGCGATAAAAAATTTCCTGATTACAACCTTAGATTAGAGTGTAGTGCAATGCTTCACCAATCTTTCACATCGATAACCGTTATAATCCAAATCTTAACGGTGCATAAAATCAGAAGGCAAAGAGAAGCTGCAACTACACTTTTATTAACAAATGGCACAGGTCAGAAAGCTATACACACATGAGTAAGTATCAACGAGCAAGCGCAAGCGATTGCATAGGCAAATTTATAGTCAAATTGTACAAGAACTCAGCAAGAAAATGCAAAACCTAATAACAAGATTTGAGTGCATACATATATGGGGAGGAAGATGAATTATCGAATGTTATTTAAGCAATCAACGTTTTGGCTAGAGTCTGTCATGTGCTCCAGTGATCATAACAGTACAAAGATATATGCACATTGTTACTATCCAAATGACAATGTCTGTTAAACAGTTAATAAAAGGGCTTAACTAAAATTAACCATAATCAAAATTGGGTGTATGATAGTTGCTATAACAGTACATTCCCATCGGAAGATGAACTGGGATCACATCATAGAATCAATGAGAACAAGAATACACTGAACATTCGTTTCATCTAAATTTGAATTTCTTCAACATTGTATATCCATGATCCAATATACATGATAGAATTCAGGATCGTGATCACATAATACTGAGTGAATGTGAAACATTGTCTCCTGAATCAGTGGACAATGTCATAATAAATTCGTCATGAAACCTGTAATTTTCTTGGTTGCACTCAATACAGAGATGTGATCAAGCACTAGCAATGAGTTGCAAAGCAAGACGAAATACATGTCCAATTATCTTCGACTTTTATTGTTTCTCCATTTGGTATCAGTTAGTGAGTGATAAGGTAACTGATCACCATGTGATGTATGCTACTTATGTCGACAGACATAAGTAGTATGTACCACCCATCAGAATTGGGATGCCTGCCAGTCGAAGGTTTAAAAGATCGAATTGACGAGAACAGTAATGCAAACAGAGAGTAATTGTATTAAGAACAGGAATGAAGGAATGATGAAGTTTGAAGGAAACAATGGATGGATGATATGCAAATGAAGTATTTAATGTATGGTTTTCATATTTTATCAACACACTCAGTAAACCCCATCTGATAGAAATATTAATTTAATCACGACCTAAATTACAGTCGTAAAGGCAAGGATTGGCAAAGCAAAGATAGCATTCCTACAGTTGAACTACATATGGAACTCAAAACAACTATCAACCAACATCAAAATTAAAATTTCAATAAGAGCGTCAAGGTAGTTTTATGGTATGGAAATGAAACTTAGAGAACTAACATAACCATCATCAAAAAGGTACAAGTATTTATAAACAGTTATCTACACAAGATACTCAATGTCCGTTGTTGACCGAATACCATCAGCAACAGCCTATTCTGAGAGAGAACAAACCAGCTTCTAATTGAAGAGGAAAGTCAAAAAAGACCCTGAAAGTGGATGAGACATACATTATAGAAATCATCAAACTGAATCACGAGGCAAACGCTAACTCGGAATGAAGAAGGGAAACAGAAAAGAAGAAGGCCAAAGAACACACTTGCTTTGAGAACTGGAAACAGACATCATAAGGATGAATAGGAACTGGAAAATATTGTCAAGGACATAGTTCGAAGGAGAATGTTGGTGGGCGGCCTATGCTCCTCCACGACGTGAGGTAACAGGAGTAAGTAAGTAAGTAAGTAAGTAAGTAAGTAAATTACAATAAAAACGTAACATCAATTTTCAACCAGTCACTTATTAATTTACTTACTTACGCCTGTTACCCCCCTCCAATGGAGCATAGACCACCGACCAACATTCTCTAACCCCTTTCTGTCCTGGGCCTATTTTTCTAGTTCTATCCAGTTTTTGTTCATTCTTCTCATGTCTGTATCTATTTCTCGGCGTAATGTGTCCTTTGATCTTCCTCTTTTCCTTTGGCCTTTAGGATTTCATGTGAGGGCTTGTCTTGTGAGGCAATTGGGTGATTTCCTCAAAGTGTGCTCAGTCAGTCAGTCAGTAGGAGCAGGCACATTTATGCATCGGTTACGATAGTCACGCGGACCCCAACCAGGTAGACTGCATCTACCAACATGGCACTGATCAGAAGTTAGTGACTTCAAGCATCGATGCCACGTTTTGGTTTGGCCTCCCCTAACTCTCTTCCAACCATCCCCTACACTGGTCAGCATAGCGCGTCGTGGTAATCTGTGTTCAGGCATACGTAACACGTGGCCTAGCCATCGCAGTCGATGAAGATTCATCACCTCATCAACTGATTAACCATCGTTCCCTAATACCCTACGTCTAACCTCACTATTACTTACCCGGTGATCCCAGCAGATGCGAGCAATATTTCTAAGGCATCTGTGGTCAAATACTAGTAACCTACGAGTATCTTCTACTCTTAATGGCCATGTTTCGCAGCCGTGAAGTAAAACAGAACGGTCTGCTGCGCAGTATACTCGTCCCTTAATTGATAGACGGATATGTCATCTTCGCCATAAGTGACGTAAGTATGCCCAACTTATTAATTTACTTTAATCAAATTAATACACATGTCAATATGAAATTGTAATCAAAATTTCTATACTACTAATATAAATGACAAATACATTACGATACATTTTTGAGTAGTTATTATTACATTGGTAATATATACCCTGGTTCCTTAACACCAACACAATATATGTTTCACTTTATTCACTTATCATGTATTTGTGTGTGTGTGTGTGTGGGTGTGTGCGTGCGTGCGTGCACAGTTACTTAATACACCTTCTATCTTTTAGACGAATAGTCAAGTGTTTTCATTGAAACAATAATAACATGCGAAAGATTAGTTTTATTGATTTTAGCACCATGAGTCAAAAAACACGTAGTTTTTTTATTGGTTATTTAAAAATGGTGCAAAACTTACTTAAAGTTGATATTTCATTTAAAATTTTTTTATAATGGTAAAAATTATATACTACTTAAACCATGCAAAAGTCTAAAATAACTAATCGATTATGTAGACTACCTGGTCGTTTAGATGGGAAATTAGTGATTGTAACTGGTGCTAATATTGGTTGTGGATTAGAATTAAGCGGTGAATTAGCACGTCGTGGATGTATTGTAATTATGGCTTGTCGAGATTTAGAAAAAGGATTTTTAGGAAAAGAAATACTACTTGATCGATTTGGCGATCGTAGTCAAGAGAAATGGAGAAAATCACCAGCTGGTTCTGGTGTTGAACCATTTCTTGAAGTTGTTAAAACATCACAGGTAACTATTATAGAATTTAATTTTTGTTTAAAAAAATTTGTTATTTATGTAAACATTGTTGCTTAGATTCAACTTAGTATGGTTTGTTTAAATCTTCCCATTGATGTGTTAGGATTGCAATTGGTCAGTCTCTTATTGGCAATATGTACATACTGTGTGTATTGCCTCGATATAGCCTAAATTCACAAGCATTGTAAGCAAAGATGAATAGTGGCTAGCAGGGCTAAACATCAATGGGAAGATTCAAACAAACAGTACTTTGTTGAATTTAAACTTCACCCATTGTACAAGCAAGTGGCTATCAGGACTCAGTGGACGAGTGGATAACGCGATGGCGTTTGAAGCAAAAGGTATTGAGTTCGAGTCCTAGATTAAAAATTAACTCTGAGATGCAGGTACATCCAGCTAACGAGTCCCAAATAGGACGAAACGCGCCGTCGAACTGGATTCCACTGCTAGCCATTATACATCTTTGCTTACAATGTTTCTTAAGTTGAAGATAAGTTTAGTCAAGAACTAGAGTCAGCTGACACCTGCCTTTTTTATTTAGTTTTAATATCGGAAAGTAATCCGCAGTGTAATAACCATAGGGAAAAAAATCAAACGATTTTGAGACCACTGAAAATCATGTTTCAAGATAGCAACTCATTTAATAATACTGTGGCTTATAAAACATTCCCGAATTTCAACAATAATTACATATTGTTTCTCCAGGATATCTGAAGTCCTTCATAGACAACAATAAACGAATAAAAGGAGATGTCGAACGTATTCAAATAGGAAGGATTAAATTTTGCAAACATATAGTATAAATAGTCGCATCGACACATTGTACATCAGAATTTTCCCAGTCAAAGTAACATCATGATGGTATCAAAGATGATCCAGATCGGTATAAGATATTATCGATATTTTTGTGTATAGACCGGTTTTTTGTTACCATGGAAATATAGAAATACTCCTACTCATACACGGTCGTGGCCTGAATAGCTCAGTGGTAGCGTCTCTAACTGTGAAGCTGAGTGACACGGGATCGAATCGGTCAGGGAGCACCAGTTCCATTAAGATTACAGGTACACCTTGCTGACGAGTGTCAAGTAGCACGAAACCCAGGTCCAGGATTTCCTGTTGATCACCTCCCCCCCAACCACCATCTCATCTCAACATAGTGCACGCAGTGTCGAGTCACCTAGTCTAGTGGCCACATTGCAACTTGATCGATAACATTCAATCAACACTAAGAATGTCTTGACACACATGACATTGATCACCACCTCAGTGACCAATCAATTGTTCCCCTTTAATTTTTTTAAAATTTATTTTATTTAATTTCAGTTAATTGTTGAACATTTGGATTTAGCTTGTTTAGAGTCAATTCGTCATTTTGCTAAAAAGATTCAACATCAATATACACGATTAGATATATTGATACATAATGCTGGTATGATGGCTACTAGTTATATGGAAACACATGATGGATTTGAATTACAAATGGGTGTTAATCATTTAGGTCCTGTATTATTAACTGAATTATTATTACCATTATTATATAATGGTGCACCATCACGTGTGATTGTTATTGCATCGAATCTTTATCAACAAGGTGATATTGATGTGAATAATTTAAATTTACGCGGTGAACAATATGGACCATTTAAAGCATATAATCAATCAAAATTAGCTAATGTATTATATGTACGTGAATTAGCTAAACATTTAGATGGTTTAAAAGTTATACCAATGGCTGTACATCCTGGTGCAGTACGAACAGAAATATCAAATACAGGAGATCATCGATATCAGGTAAGTAAGAGAAAATTGATTAATTTATGTACATAATCATCATTATTGTGTTTAATATCAGTCAGTCAGTCAGTCAGTCAGAACGTAGAACTTTGTACGTATGTACTAAAGTTAAGAATGTGTACTGTTTGTTCCTAGCTCACTTGTTTAATTGCATTATACTTGTTGTAAAACTTGACCTCATCCACAGAAATCGAGTCCTTGTGAGGTTACTGTCGTGTATAGTTGAGGTTCCTTAAATTAAAATGTTGTTACATACTTCACGATTTTCTTTGAAGGATGTTAAGCCATGATGGAATTAGTCTTTAAACTAAACGGAATCCTTGAAAAAGTCACCTAAATTAGATCATCATGTCATTAGACTTCTTTTATTCCTTCACCTCACTTGATATTTTTAGAGTGTTTAGTTACTTACTACCGTTTGAAATACCATTGTTTCAAACCCTTAACTTATCTAAACTGGTTCCGTCCTTTACTTTTTTTATTCTAGTAAAGTGACAATTTGAACTGACTTGGCAGATTCTATTATGCTTTAACTGATTACAACAATAGGATGGTTGTGCATTATTAATATGTATTGCATCATGGAATGATTTAAGTTTAAAAAAAAACATGTTGGTAACTAGCTGTGTCGATCTAATTCTGTGCACCTAAATAATGCCTAAATATGGTCACTCCAGAGTAAAAACATAACTAGAAATTCAGATCCCATGAACGGCATATTATTTTTAGAACATCTAATAGTTTCACTTTCGTCAATAGGTAACATTTCGAAACACCAGTTCAGCCATTCCTCTTTGTCAAACAGTTCAATTAATAACAAGAACTAGCCAAATGCCCTGGTACGGCCGAAAGTGAGGAGAGTCAGCTCACCATCTCAAAATGCTCTCAAATAGCCACGCGGATATAGCCTCTGACAGGGAAGTCCTACTCACTGCCTTCTCGTGGCGAGATAGGGTGTTGCTTATGAAATCCAGAGGACAAAAAGCGAATGTCCAGTGATTTAACCAGGTTCGTGGATATGAAAGAAGTTGGAAAAGCCTGATTCCAAATCAATGGTACACATGGGCTCCAGTATCCTGAGGAAACAAATGGTGTATGAATCAATTGTTGATCACCGGCTACCATGGGACTGCATCTCCTTATGTTGCTCCACTTCCTTGTGGATCAGACCTTTAGGTCAAAGGCTCGGACTGTGGCCTCCTAAGAAAACGATCTGCTTCAGTTTGGGCAGTATCACAGCCCTCACACAAATCAAATGAGATTTGTATGGCGCATATGTATCTGTTTCCCCCTTTGTACCAATAATTATGTGTTTAAATAAATTAATATAACTTCAATTATTTCAATATACATTTTAACCCGATCCATTTGTATATGATATACAATCAAATCATTCCATTATAATGAAATCACATAGATACACATAGACCTATACAATCCATCTACATATACATATTCATTGACAACAAAATTAAGATTCGATCATGATCGATTACCTATCTGTATACTTTGCCAACAAAATATACACATAGTAGTATTTGACAATTATTGCAAAGATATTACCATTATCAATCTTTCTTATTAATTCAATGATACATATATGTATATATACAATATAGTTAAACATTATGAACAAATCTTACATAGTTTACATAGTTACTCATACATACATACTATAACAACATAAATCATCAATACTCTTGTAACTAGTCGGTAACAAATGCGGTATGTAACGAGTAATTTATTAGTAGACTATAGGGTATATCATATTTATCTTCTTGTTGTAAAAAAAGACATTAAAACTGATTAACTAATCCAAACATATTGATACACGGTAAGTATATAAGTCGTGCCAATCAACGGATTATAATAGTTGCCATAGTAACTAATTTCTTATTAAATTAAACTAACTTCAAATATTTTCATAGTTGAAATTATGAGTCAATTGAAGCCAGACCACTACGGAAAAGTTGGAAGCACTGGACGGCCGTTTCGTCATATTATGGGACTCCTCAGTAGTGCGCATCCACGATCCCACCTTACGAGATTCGAAACCAGGTCTTACCAGTCTCGCGCCAGAGCCCTTAACCGACAGACCACTGAGGGGGCCGGCATTCAGCGGTGTTAATATCTAACTTCAACCAATCCACGAATTTGAGCAACCGTTCATCAATTTTCTTCAGTGAGTTGATATCTCTACAACAGACTTGGTAGAACTCCACTGGTCACTGCTTCTCATTAGAACTCAAGGAAATATCTCTTGAAGTCAGTCATTAGTGTGCATATGATTATAGATCAGAAGGGTTTCCATGATGGTCTAGCTTCAATCGACTCATGATTTCAACTATGAAAATACTAAATTCTCCACAAAACCCCTTCTGATCTAACTTCAATTAGACAATCGTTGAAAACAAAATAATAGAGACTGGGAAATTCTATAATTTGAGTACAGTGCTTCTTCAAAATGTCATCATTATGATTACTGAAAGGATTGAGATCAAAAGCCTACCAGATTTAGAGATCTCTCTCGATTACTTTTACACCAATGAATAAGTGTATATAGTGATTCATATTTAAAATTTCGATCATTTCATTATGTGATACAAAGCTTTTAATATGAGCCATGTTGGTAGATCCAGACTACCTGGTTGGGGTCCGCGTGACTATCGTAACCAATAGTTTGAGACTCTAGGCGACATGGCTCAGAATCGATCACAATGGTGTAGGTGTATACACTTTCTTTCTTCTCTTGAACCTTGAGATTAAAATCGCTTCATAACTTCCTTCCTATACTATATCCTTATATACGACCTTTTATATGCTACCATCACTAAATTAACTACTACTATGAATTTCGGTGTTCATCTTGTTGTGCTAACGAGGTATGACAACTTGAACCGATGCAAATATGTGCCTGATCCTACGTTGTAGCTGACAGGCTGAGCTTGAATTTTAAATGTTTAATCCGTGGCAAAATCGTATAAATGACCAGTTGAAGAATTTTAGACTTGTAATACTAATCTGTCCAGTGTTTGATAGTTCACTAGTCAACGACCTAAACTATCTAAAAATTGATCTAATCTTCACAAACGACTAACTAAACAAAAATGATTAATTAGTGAAAAGTGGCATTAGAGTACGGTATATTTCCAAAATAGAAGCATATCAAGTAAAGCTTCAGTTAATCATTAATATACTATCCAATGCGGCAATCATATCCTGAACTAAACCACTTTTCATTTTCAGGATATCTTTTTTTAGTTATTTTATAGTTGAATTCATGAATCAACTAAAGCTAGACGTCCATATAAACCCTGGAAGCACTGGAAGGTTGTTTCATCCTATTATAGGACTCCTCAACAGTGTGCATCCTTTTATCTTGAAACATAGTTGTAAAATATAATTAAGAAATCGGTAGAAAAGTACGTAATTAGTATTCAGTAATTGATGTTGACTTTACACTTTCACTACAGATTAAGTTGATATAAAAATAACATTCTATGAGTACATCATATGAAATTTATTGATAAATAAGTTCAGATTTGAAAGATCCTAACAGTAATATAATGAAGCTCTTAACAAACTGAAGTCTAACCTTTTACTTAGGCTAAGTTAATTTACGACGAAAAAAGGCAACACTAGGATCAAATAGATATATTGTTTTACAACAAAAATGGAGGAGTTCCGCAATAGGACAAAACGACAGTCCAGTACTTCCAGGTTTTCCATGGTGATCTAGCTTCAATTGACTCATGATTTCAATTATTAAAAATGGAGTAGTAACACTGTCTATATGATGATAGTAATATATGTAATAAAATACTAAATGACATCAGTGTTTAATTTTGTAATTTAAATTAGTATAAGCCATTGGAATTAAGGAGATTAACACTCAGTATTAGGTGTTCATTGAGCACTTACATTTCGAGGTGATCTATTTTACTCATCACTAAACACTTTTCCCTTATCCTCCACGAGGCGACGTCTTGGATGCACACTGCTGAGGAGTTCCACAATAGAACGAAGCGGCCATCCAATGCTTCCAGGTTTTCCATGGTGATCTAGCTTCAATTGACTCACCCTTTCAACTAATGAAAATACTGAAATCTCCACAAAAACCCCTACTGATAATAGAAATCTAATGTTAATTTATTTTTTTAATTATTCATTTAATATTTTAGTTATTTCTACGTGCTGTTGGTATAAGTCCATGGGAAGGTGCACAAACTGCATTATATTGTACATTAATTAATGATCCAGTACCTGGTGGTTATTATTCAAATTGTGAAAGAGAAGAATTAACTGAAAAAGCATTAAATGAAACACTTAGTAGAAAATTATGGGATGCATCACGTGAATTGGTTGGTTTACCACCAAATTTATTAAATTTACCATGATAAAAAAAGAAGAAATAAAGAAAAATAATTTTCATGAATTTTTCTCTTTTTTTTTTCTTTTTCTTCTTAACATTTTATATTGGTTGCTATGGATTCAAAAAAAAATTTTTTTCTATTTTTACTTACTATGTATTCGCAACTTTACATCACCACCACCACCACCACCAATAATAATAAAATATGATATAATAATTATTGATTTTTAGTTATCTTATTAGTATAAGTGTATATTTCATTATTGTCGTCTTCATCGGTTATTACTTTCATTATTATTGATTATCAATAATAATAATTTTATAATGATCATATTGATTTATTTATATTCATTAATAATTGACAATATTCAATGGTGAAGTTGATGATTGGTTCAATGTATCAATTGAAGTTTATGAGTTGCTATGGTAACTATTATTATTATTATTATGATTGATAAGTGATATAATAAAGGAATTCCTTTTTCTTTTCTTTTTTTTTTATTTATTTATTTATTAATTCTACTCTTTAAAATTAACATTTTTCTTTAAAGAAAAAAAAGAAATTCACTATAATTAAATGAATTTGAATAAAGTAACCTTTATTTATTTGAGGTTGATAGTGAATGTAGTGTATAAGTGAGAATGTTTTTGTTTGAATAAATAAGAAGAATGTAAATAGTATAAAGACAACAAAAAAAAATCAATCAATATAATTAAACTTAAATAATCAACATTAAAAACAATGAAATTACAAAATGATTAAATATTGTCATTATTAGATTATATATCTGAATTTATACAGATTTTATTTGCTATGATAAGTCAGTCAGTCAGTCAGTCAGTCACAACGTAGAACTTCGTACGTACGTACATCAGTTCGAGTTGCCATACCACATTAGCACACAGATGCAGTTGTCGATTCAAATCCCATAGTGGAAGAATTAGTAAGAGTATAAGCAGTAATCGGAAAGATTAGGGTTTGAAGAAATTATTGAAGGAGTATAGTACAGTGAAATATATTTGGAAGGAGAAAAACATAAAGACATGAGAAATTCAGAAGATTAGAATTTGGTAGAACACAAAGAGTGGATGCATCTTCGCCATTGCAAACGATTTTGAGCCATGTCATTCAAGGTCTCTAACCATCGGTTGCTGTCATCTCGCGAATCCCAACCAGGTAGTCTACACTTACCAACATGGCCCAGTCCACTTGTCAGTGACTTCATTGATTTGTGCCACGTTTTGGTCTGGCCAACCCTAGCTTTCTTCCAACCTACTCCTACACCATGAAACATTGCACGTCGGGGCAGTCGGTGGTCGGGCATACGTAACACATGTCCCAGCCATCTCAACTGATGAAGTTTCACTACTTCATCAATCGATTTGCCATCCCTACCTAGTACTCGTTTCCTAACAACTGCATTACTTACCCGGTGGTCCCAGGATATACGAGCAATGCTTCGAAGACACCTATGATCGAACACGAGTAGCCTACGAATATCCTCTACTCTTACCGGCCATGTTTCACTGCCATAAAGTAGGACGGAACGAACTGCTGCACAGTAAACCCGTCCTTTGGTTGCTAGACGGATATCTCGCCTATGCCATAAATGATGCAAGTTGACGAAAGCTAGACGAGCCTTCTGTATCCGTGCTGAGATTTCGTCAAACACCAGACCACAAGGGCTGATGAGACTCCCAAGATAAGTGAAGTGGTCTACACGCTCAACTACTTCACTCCCTATCATTAGTTCAGGTGTCGCTGCAACCCAATCCTGAAGTAACATTTTGCACTTCGAGGGAGAGAATCGCATCCCGAACATGCCTGCATTGTTGCTTATGGTGGTCAGAAGACTCTGCATTTTGTCAGCGTCTTCACCGAGTAAAACTATGTCGTCGGCGTATTCTAAGTCAACAAGTGAGCCTCCCGGTAAGAGTTCAACTCCTGGAGGCTTAGCTGATGAAAGTGCTGTCTCTAAAAGTATGTCAATGACAAAGTTAAACAAGAATGGGGAGAGTGGACAGCCCTGACGAACGCCACTTGTGGTAATCAGTTCTGATGACAGTTCGCCATAGGCTCTAACTCGACCAGTTGTGTTCGAGTAGAGAGCCTTTATGAGGTTAATGTACTTCTTTGGTACTCCTTTCAGTGACAAACATTGCCATAGAACCTCACGATCAACAGAGTCAAATGCCGCCTTAAGGTCAAGAAATACTACTATTGTGGGACGTCTGAATTTGTGTCTATGTTCTAGAACCTGACGTAGGGTGAATATCTGGTCTATGCAACCACGTCCAGGTCGAAAACCAGCCTGGTTTTCTCTAGTCTGCTCTTCACGAGCTTTGGTTAGGCGACCTAGTATTATTGAAGCTAATATTTTAGACACTATATTAGTCAAACTGATTCCTCTGTAATTGTTACAGGAGGACTTTTGTCCTTTCTTATAGACTGGCACAATCAGTGATTGGGACCAGTCAGATGGAATTACGTCCAGTTCCCAGATTCTACCTAAGACCTCAGTCAATCTCACTGCTAGTACTGGACCACCATCCTTAAAAATCTCAGGGGTCAACCTGTCAGGGCCTGCTGCTCTCCCTCGCTTCAGATTTCCTATAGCTTTTTCAACCTCACAGAGGGTTGGAGGACTTACCTCAATTTGCCATTCAGGACGACTGGGGATCGTGGGTAATTGAAGTGTGCCTGAAGGCCAGTTGAACTGATCCCTAATGTGTTCTGCCCATCGATCCAATCTCCTGGATTGAGAATGAATAATATGCCCATCTCTATCTGAGATGGTTTCACTGATATTCGGGTTCCTAATGCCGGTTTCTTTAACGAGTCTGAATAGCTGCCTACTGTTACCTATTGCCGCTGCCTTTTCCATCTCTCTTGCTTTCCCTACCCACCACTGTTCACGATCATTACGTAGGCTTCTTATAAGCCTGCGCTTAAGTTGACTCCGCTCTTCGTTATGCTCAGAGCCAGGTGGGATGAGTTTACGAGCATCTATCAGTGCGGAAGATGCTGCCGAGATCCACTGTTTCTCCCTAACGTTATGGTTTACCTTACTAGCGGACATCACTGCTGTTTCCACAGCTTTTCGGATGTCATTCCACGCTGCCTCGGGGTGGACACAACTTACATGGCTGCCTAACTGTTTTTCTAGTTGTTCCTGATATATATTCTTAGCTTGCCTATCATTAAGTAGAACCCTTAGAGGCTTCCCTGCAGTGTCTTTCCTACGACCAGTTAGACGCAGACAGATACGTGCTCGCACTAGAGCATGATCTGAATCTAGACATGTGCCCCATAATGAGCGACAGTCTTCAATCGAGCCCCTCCATCGGTGGCTGATAGCGATGTGATCTAATTGGGTCCAACGTTGGGACGAATTCGGGGGTCGCCATGTCAAAAGATGTTTTTCCTTATGCTTAAAGTTAGTATTTGCAAGAAATAGGCGGTTATCTGAGCACAGCTGCAACAGACGGTCGCCATTATCTGTTCTTTTCGCCATGACACCATAAGATCCACCCAGGTGTCTTTCCCTTTCACTTAGTTTACCTACTTGAGCATTAAAGTCACCTGCTACTACTACTACATCAGAACGCCTAGCTTCTCGGAGAAGGTCAGAAAGTTTCCTGTAGAACTCATCTTTTATATCGTCTGAGCTGCAGTCAGTGGGAGAGTAGGCAGAGACGACGAAGAGGCAACGACGAGTTTCCCTATCTTTCCGAGTCCTTAGTGATCCGTTTAGTCGGACAGCGCATAGACGACTGTCTACTGGGATCCAGTCTTAAAGAGCTAGTTCTGCCCTAGGACTTAATGCTATACCTACTCCAGTGAGGCCACGGGAAGCAGCGTCAGGGCTTCCAGATACACGAAGCGTGTATCGAGATGAAACTTTATTTTGATTAGGTGAGGTCAAATGAATGACACTACTCGGATCTTGTATGCGCGTTTCGGAGACGCAGCACACATCGATGGTGTAAGATTCTAGAGTCCTAGCTAAGGAAGCCTGTTGTCCTATTTGGCACAATGTTCGGACATTAAAAGTTCCTATATGTAGTTTAGAGCGTGGTTTCAGGAGACCAGAAATAACGTTCTGTGTACTCGAATCGTTTGCCCTAGCGGTGCGAGGTGATAAAAGGACGTGGGAAGGGTTAGTCGTGGAGATAACAGAGTTATTAGGAGGTGTAGGAAGGATTTGAAAGCGACCAACTTGATCTTGTGTGCAGCTAAGGGTATGAGGGCTAGTATCACTTCACGGCTGCCCACACCGTGGAAGGGTATTTCTTGAGGGACCTGAAAAAGAAGTTGGATTAGTGTTGGTCTTAACGACCTGGGTGCGTGACCGCAGTGCCCAAGGGACATCTGCTTGAGGCCGGTCACGCACGGCCTTTTTGTGGGGGATTTTTGACGTGTTAGCTCCGTTCTTCAAAAGTCCTTACCGCCGGAGACGGATATCCGTGGGATAAGGCGAGGTGTGCATTTTTAGGGTCGACCTTTTCTAACCCCACCCCTCCTTGTGGGAAGGCAGCATCGCTGTCATGCTGGTTGTCTGAAGGAAACACCTTACTGCTTTCACACCTCTGTACAGTCAGCAGTACGACTTCGCCTTCGGACCTTGGGATTGCTGCTTTTAGTCTCACCGCTCTTCAATCGACCTGTCTGGCATGGTAGGACCTTGAGGAACGATTGTTCCAGCCAGCATAGCTCGATTGGATCATCACGATAGGCAAGCCCGACCACCACGTCAAGGTAGCAGCAACGGTCGGGCTATGATAAGGCCGAGAGTGAAGAGAAACAACTCTCTCTTTCTCTCTCACACGAAAAAGTTTCTCACATGGTTATGCGTTTACAGCTACTGATCAGGGAAATCCTATTCACTGACTTCTTGTAACAGAGTGGGATGTTGTTTATGAAATTGAGAGGATGAAAAGTGAATCTCCAGTGTTTTAACCGAATTGGTTGTCACGGATTATTCACCTAGTAGAGTTGGAAAACTAATGGTGCACATTGGCTCCAGTATCCTGAAGGAACAAATAGCGTATAAACTTATTGTTGGCCATCAGCTACCATAGTGTCGCATCACTTAATGTCGCTGCACTGTCTTGTAGGTTAGACCTTTAGGTCTAAGGCTCAGAGTGTGGCTCTTTAAGAAAACCACCTGTTTCAGTTTGAGCATCCAGGCAATATCCCAGCCCTCACACAAATCAAATGATTTATGTGGTGTATATATTATTTAGTACTTCCTTTTGCCAATATTTAAATAAATAAAATAAAGAATAACTGAATATTATTTTTTGAAATTTGATATAATTAATAATTTGTAGTAAACAACTGAAAACTTTAACACTTAGCTATCTATTTCATAAGAAATGATAACTTTTAAAATATATACATCATTAACAGAAGGGGTTGTGGTGGAGATTTTAGTAATTTTATCGAGTTCAGATCATAAGTCATTTGAAGTTAGACCACCATGGAAAACCAGCACTACTGAGAAGTCTTATTATGGGATTTTCGATGATGGTCTAGCTTCAATTGATTCATGATCTCAACTCTATAAAATATACGTCATTAACTCATCTGTTAGACATTTAGAAATACGATTTTCAATACAGTTTTGTTTGCGTTTATTTTTTTTTTTTAGTTCAGTTGACATATTTAAGCGTCATAAGTTACTAAACTGTTTGTTTAATTCTATCAACACTATCCTAAACATTCATTTTAACTAAGTTTACTTTATCATCTTTTACAAATTATCCTTCATATTTACCTAGCAACTAAGTAGGTTTAATAAGTTTTCACTAACCATATATTTAAAGCAAGTGTTGTGAATATTTCTAAGCATAATTTATATGCATATTTATTCAGCCTCAAAATAAAGTTTCCTGAAGATCTTTGGTCTTCTTACTCAGCATACTCGTTTGATAAGCGTTGAGATGTGTGTCAGCTACTCTTTGGTAACGTTGAAGGTGTGTATATATCGGTTCAAGTTATCATATCATATCATCAAAGCTGGATGAAATTATTAAGACCAATCGTACAATAGTGGGGGTAACATCAGTACATGTATTATTATGAAAAAATAAGCACTGACAAAATTATTCAAGAAAGAACGAATCTTGGTATAGATATTGTAAGATAATTTTAAAACTTAAGATCTAAGAGATGGCAAAGAGTGAATGATTGTGAGACATATCATCCAACATATGAAACAATTGATCGCAATTATTATGTGGTATGAATCAAATAATCAGTATACACAAGCATAACTCAAACCAACTGTCAGAAGCTTCATGAACTAATTATATGCCATGGTATGGCTACCCTAGCTATCTTCCAACTTACTCTTACTCGAGTCAACGTCATGAGTTGAAGTAGATAGTGGTTAAACATACCCTACGCAACTTCCCAAAGACTCAGTCGATGAAGATTCTGGTGTGTGGACGAAGAAAATAGTGATTTACCTAGTCAGACTAGTAGACAGTCTGATAGGCAATAAATGTGTCATATATTTTCCTACCTTCTACTGTATGGGGCGCAGACGTGGAGAACTACGAAAGCCATTATCCAGAAGATACAAGTGTTTATTAACAGCTGTCTACGCAAGATACTTCGGATCCGATGGCCAAACACTATCAGCAACAAGTTACTGTGAGAGACAACAAACCAGATTCCAGTGGAGGAAGAAATGCTGGAAGTGGATAGGACACACATCGAATAAATCACCCGATTGCGTCACAAGACAAGCCCTCACATGGAATCCTGAAGGCCAAAGGAGAAGAGGAAGACTAAAGAACACATTACACCGAGAAACGGAGACAGACATAAGAAGAATGAACAAAAATTGGATAGAATTAGAAAGGGAGGCCCAGGACAGAGTGGGTTGGAGAATGTTGGTCGGCGGCCTATGCTCCATTGGGAGTAACAGGCGTAAATAAGTAAATTTTTAATGAACGAATTTCACTTATCATCTATAACTTTATGTACTTCGACTTTGAGCCATACTCTTTTCGAATATGAGAACTAGTGATATTCCTAGGTTACTTAAACTATAACGATAGTGAGAATCAGGCCTGTAACCTTGTTGGTTGAAAAGTGCGTGGCATAACTATTAATACTTACAAATATTTGATTGAGTTTTCTTTATGTCTATATGATGGGTCGATCAGACATAAACCGAATGATAAATAGGAAATACTGACAAACGTATACTATAAATCGTGATTAGGCTTAAATTTTTGAGAAAACAGATATATGCTACTGGCTTAAAATGTAGCTAAACATTCTGAGGGATATTTATCTGTGGTTATGAATGAGTTATGCAGGGTATAGTTTTGGGGCCAGTGTTATTCCTCTTGTACGTAAATGACCCCCCTCGTCTACTATCGTCATCAGTCATGTTCTATGCTGACGAGGTCAAGATATGGACAGCGATACAAAGCAAGGGCGATAGCTTAAAACTCCAAAACATCCTGGAGAAATTATCTGAATGGTCCCAAACCTGGCAATTGACGATAAACACTTCCAAGTGTATTGTGATGCATATTCCCCATCAGGGTACAGATACATACACGATGAATAACACTGAGCTACCTATTATCCAGACACACAATGACTTAGGAGTCATCGTTAGTCAAGACTTAAAGGCTACTGCACACTGTCATGCAATAGCTGCTAAAGGTTTTAGAACTTTATGGTCAATACGTAGGGTCTTAGTCATATCGACGCTAAAATGTTTTTGACTTTGTATATAGTGTTCGTGCATCCTAAACCTGAGTACTGCATACAAGCGTCTAGCCCCTGCCTAGAAAAAGACAGTAAACTCTTGGGAAGGCTTCAGAGAACAGCAACTAAGCTGATTCGTGGAATAGCGAAGCTTCCGTATGATGATAGACTGACCAAGCTAAAACTATTCCCGCTGTCATATCGAAGAAGCAGAGGTGACTTGATTACAGTTTTCAAATTAATCAGTGATAAATTTGCACCTGATATGCCCTCATTTTTCTTGTCTTCCAAAACAGAAAATTTATGAGGACTTTCCAAAAAAGGTTCGCAAGCCCAGAACGAATTACTTGTCAGCTGACTATCGGCTTTCCCATCGAACCATCAACGAGTGGAATTCATTACCTCAGCACGTTGTTGAGGCTCAATCTGTCGACTCTTTCAAAAGAAAGTTGGATCAACTGAGAAACCATCACTGCGAGGACTAACACAGGCCATCAAGACTCCTGTCCTTTTCAAAATGAAACTAATCACATGTTCCTACTCAATCTTGGTTTGTGAGATCAAGTATCTGATTCGTGCATCCATGTAGTAAGTGTATGTATCATTATCAGACTAGGACGACAGCAGGATACAACATACATTTAGTTAGCCAGTTTCATTGAAGTTAGATTGAGAAGAAACAGATACACTGTAAATCATCACAGCTAAAATAACTTGATTATTTCTATTAAGACGAGTCAAATCAAATATTACATATACAGAAACTGATAGTATGGACAAGGATTGAAACCATGAAGATAATTCGGTGCATTTTCCCCAACAAAAACCAATAATGCAGTATACAGAAACAAGAAAAGGATTCATTATTTAATTAATTAGAGTCCTTTCGAAGATTTCAATCCACTGGTTGAGTTACGCATGAAGTAAATTAAAGATTATACATTTTAAATGGACAAGCTACTCAGCGGATGAAACATATAATCGAGAATTAAAAAGCGGAAGATATAAGACCACAATCAAGAAAATGGATTAAAACACCGTACAAATATACAAATATTTAGGATTAGGAGTAAATTACAAAAAGCAAACACTGAGTTACAGATATTCAAGCGTATTCATCACACTACTTAAATATTGATAAGTAGTACAGTGAAATACACACAAAAAAGAAAGGATAGACAACACCATTGAACCAAAGCCTAAAACTGGTTCAACTACAGAATATTATTTCATTAAAACTGAATTATTATCAGGATTCAATAAAAGTGTAATTAAAGTTTCAAATAATTTTAAACGGGATGAATTATTTGTTTTCAATGTTTCAATAAATTCATAATTCTTTAGGGTAGCAACATTATCATTATTCTTAGGATCAACATTGTATAGTTGCTTTTCTAATAAATATGGATCATATTCAAAGTGAACACCACTTAAAATACCACAACCATTTCCTAATTTTGAACCAATAATCGCCGGTTTTCCATTATCCGAGCTGAAAAAAATGTACGTACGTCTCATTTACAGTACCATTAGGATCAGGGAGCACTACACAAACATTTCGTCCCAATATGAGACTCATCAGTTATTACCGACAACCCAACCAAGAATCAAGCCCGAGGATATTAAGTCTTACGACTAATCTCTAGTCACTGGAACCACTAAGTTAACAGGTACAAAAACATTGATTTAAACTTTGCTTGATTCTTATTACTATTAGTATTTAAAAAGATTCATTGTTATAAAATAGAACTAGACGTTCTTTTATAGTGATATCAGTTAGCAACTATAGATAATTACTGTGTGATATAGATAGCTCTGACTATATTGGGGATTTCTTTAATCCTAGTGTAGTGAATAAAACACTAGTCGGGGACAATCGAAAGTGTTTAAACACAGAATTACAGACAATCTCACGAAATTCTGATAACCATACAGTAGTAAACAGTTAATTTACAAAATAGCAATCAATGGTCTCAAACTTCACTGTTCCTTCTGTAAATATCAACCCATCTCCTCTAATTTCATTGTTCATGCATTTTCATACCGATCGCGCTTTGTTTTTATTATTTATTTATCGATCTTCTGCCAAACTGCATTTTATGTCAAACCATCGCCATATACTACTTATATGGATATAAGTAGACCACACTACACCAGTAATGTGATGATATATATCTTAAAACAAGTTGAGTAATACCTTGAGTTATCGGACAGTCTCAACAATAAAATTGCATTTAGCAGAATAGAGTTTGATATGTCTACATCTGATAGAGACATTGTCAAATCAAAGCTTCAATGATTTAATCATCTTTATTGATTGTATTGTTAAGTTTTGAAACTCAGCAATGAACTAAATTTTATTCTGTGAGTGTCGGTGAAACTAAACGGTAGTTCAAACTAAGTTGGATGTTATGGTGTTTTAACCTGCCAGTCAATGAATAAACAAAATAAGTAGATGTTAGGATGATCGTGAAAATTTCTTGCAATAGACATGGCAAGCTCATGGAAACACAAAGAAGCATTTTATCAGAAGGGGTTTTGTGAAGATTTCAGTATTTTCATAATTGAAATCATGAGTCAATTGAAGCTAGACCACCATGGAAAACCTGGAAGCACTGGATGGCCATTTCGTTCTATTGTGGAACTCTTCAGCAATGCGCATCCAATCAGCGTTCGATTAGAAGTTTTGCTAGAAATATCACTAAAATGAAAAGTCACATGTAGAGTTGTTGATTGGTTGATTACTACACTGCTACCATGTTTAGTAGCATTCCAAGGACATCTAAAATACTATATTTTCTGTACATAAATGAACATTTGAAGTAAAGTGCTTCTCCTATATTTCGCGCCTTTTCTCTCGTATTCAAGTCGCTGAGTAGATATAGCTTGGGGGTTAAGAGAATAGCTTAGGATCCGAGTATAGCATTCAAATCAACAAGATTTATCAGTAAATTTTTAACTATCAAACTTATTATCAGTTCATTTCTTACTAATTAAAGTAGAATATTGAACATGATTCAAGTACTAGTTTTATATTCACGTACTATGTATATAAAATTTGTGAATTCTCCCAATTAACTGATTCAAATGTACATCCTCCATTGTAATATACTATAGCTGTTTGTGGTATTAAATTTTTTGATACAGCTTGAATAGATACAGCATAACTACCATTTTCAGTATTATATTGAAAACCTGGAAAAATTGGACCTGATCCAATACCTAGAATTAATTGGAAAAAAACAACTTATATTGTAAGATATTGATTTCACTGGAGTTATATCAGTCGGTCAGTCAGTAAGCTACAACGTAGGACCAGGACCCGGATACTAGGTAAGAATGGCGAATCGATTGATGAAGTAGTGAAACTTCATCAGTTGAGATGACTGGTACACGTGCTACGTATGCTCAACCACCGACTGTCCCGACGTGCATTGTTTTATGGTGTAGGAGTAGGTTTGAAGAAAGCTAGGGGCGGTCAGACCAAAACGTGGCACAAATCAATGAAGTCATTGACAAGTGGACTGAGCCATGTTGATAGGTGTAGACTACCTGGTTGGGATCCAAGAAATGATAACAACCGATGGTTAGAGACCTTGAATGACGTGACTCAAAATCGTTTGCAATGGCGAAGGTGCATCCACTGTGTGTGTTCTCCCAAATTCTAATCTTCTAAATTCCCTATGTTCCTATCTTTTTTCTCTTTCCAAATTTATTTCACTGGATTATACTCGTTGAATAACAACTTCGAACCCTAATCTTTCCGATTACTGTTTATACTCTTCCTACTTCTACCACTATGAGATTTGAATCAACAACTGCATCTCTTTGCTAATGTGGTATGGCAACTCGAACTGATGTAGGTACGTACGAAGTTCTACGTTGTGACTGACTGACTGCCTGATTGACTGAAAGACGTATTATGCAAACACAGTAACAGAATAATTATCATTCATCATGTCAAAAAATAAGCTGTTAACAAATTCAACAGTGAACTTGTCTATGACATTAATTTTAGTAATATTATGCAGAAAGACATTGAAAAGTTCACTGCTGAACTATCCAACTGAATGAACATATTAACTTTCGAAACCGAAGACTTGTGAACACATTTGTTCAAAATTGGAGAATACAGATTTTTGTGTAATTTTGTTATTTTCTTCAGGTTAGTTGAGTCGTTCAAGTATTAAAAATGTATATCAGTGGCTGAGCTGAACAGTTGATCACAGAACTATTATAGCAAACGACGAGACTATAATTAATGGACGAGCCAATCACAAGCGTTTGAGGGATTTCAAGGTCACGGCGCCTATTTCAATACCTGATGCCCATGTACGATCGGTTCACAGAGGATTTTAGAGAAGAATTAACAATTAAGCGGCTACAACAAATGAAACTACTAAGAAGTTCCTGTATTTGTAATTACGAGTATTAAATGACTTGTAGACCTTGTGCAAACTACCGTGATGTTGTCCTTCGATGTAATATATGTTAAAAGAAGACGTTTGCTAGAATAGAAACCTTTATCGCTCGATCCAGATTGAGACTAGGGCATATTATAATGATTGCCGCCAACTATATAATAAAAGCACCAGTAACATTGGCTGAAATAATCGCAGATGTTACTGAAGCTTCGGTTGTTCAGAGGTATGAGTATTGTAGGGACATATCCATAATAAAAATGATAAACTTACACAGCCGGAGTACATACAAACAATATTGAAGCTATGTGGTCGAGGTTGAGGGTTTTTATGACCTTATCATGGTTCCAGAGACCAACTATTATGGAGCTATATGGATGAGTTACTCTACCTTATAGATTACGATTTTGGAACCTTTTTCTAACATTGACTAGTTTTCGGACCATATAAAAGAAGCTTACTTGAAAGATTTGAATGATTTTTTCTGGTTAGCGTTTTTTTAGCGAGTTGATTTTCTACGGGATGGGGTCGCTAACCCCATGCCCAACCCTCCTCCTTTACCCGGGCTTGGGACCGGCAGTAACCCCCAGAGGAGCTACAGGCGGAGTTATATAAAAGAAGCGTATCTACTTTAATTATTTGGTTTTGTATGATAGATCTTTACTATATGATGACTGTTTACTGATTGGCTAACATTTCTCAAGGTCACTTAAGATTCGCTCAAAGGTTGTCCATAAATTATAGTCTCGCCTCGTAAACTGTTATTTCGGCGAATAACATGTAACGTAATACATTTAAAAAAGTTTACTTTTCAGTTCAGGAGTAACAATCATCTTAAATTGATACAATTGAAGAATCGAAGAATTATTGAACAGTTGGTTGGAGAATTGGATGAAGAATGCTGGTGAGCGGCCTATGCTCCTCGACGAGGGGTAACAGGCGTAAGTAAGTAAATAAGGTTCGTTCTACTTTGGTGCATTTGAACCGATCACTTTTAAGGCTTGTACTAAAAAAACTACCACAATCTACAAATCTGAAAAGATTATTAACCTACAAATTACAGCTTCAGTAAGTTACTAAGATGGTGATAATCTTCATTCAGTGTCATAATTGAATAACTCCCTCACCTTAATGCCAAGAATACACAAAAAACAAAAACTGACAAAACTAACCAATATCAATAATATGTAAACAACAACAACAACCTTACCTTGAAATAATTTAATATGCCTATCCCCATACACTTCAAGTGGACCATTCATATCAAAAGAACAATAATCACAAGCAAAATAAGCACCAGCACAAATACCAAGATATCTACCCATTTTTTCTTTAATATAATGATGTACTTTTATACAACCAGATAATTGTAATGATTTTAAATAGCCTAAATCATAACCTCCACCGAAACATAATAAATCTGATTGAATATTATGATGATTGATTTCTGTACTGTTAACTTCTTCAATGGAATAAGAAGGGGTTAAATAATGAAAGGCATTTTTTAAATGAATGAAACATCTTTCTGAAGTACCAAGATCATTGTAAATTTGTATTTGTTTATGAACCATAGTGTAATATGGAATTGAAATGAATCTATATAACAATGACAATAAACAGAAACTATTATTAACGATCTCTAGATAATAACAATTATCAGTGTCCGAAGGTACGTTATGTGCTTTGTACCTTCGAAGTAAAAAGTACTTCTACAAGACTGGCAGGTTTCTAATCCTATACTCACCCTCGATGGTGAGCAGATTGAAGTAGTTGAGAAGTTCGTGTATCTAGGTAACTGTATAAGTGCTGGTGGTGGAGTGAGTGATGAGATTGATGCACGTATAATGAAAGCCAGAGCGGCTTATGCTAATCTAGGCCATCTTTGGCGCCTTCGTGATGTTAGTCTGGCTGTAAAAGGTCGGATCTACAACACGTCGGTGAGAACGATCTTGCTCTATGCTTTTGAAACCTAGCCTCTCCGAGTTGAGGATGTTAGACGTCTCTCTGTGTTCAATCACCGCTGTCTCCGAAGGACTGCTGACATTCAGTGGCAACCCCTAGTTAGTAATGCAGAGGTTCGGCATCGTGTATTTGGGCGCAGAGATGATAATTCAATTGGTGTCACTATCTTGAAACATCGACTTCGGTGACTTGGACATGTTCTACGAATGTCGTCCCAGAGAATTCCGCGTTGTGCATCATTTGCCGATGCTGGGACTGGTTGGAAAAAGCGGAGAGGTGGTCAGTGTATGACATGGTGTCGTGATATGAAGAAGGATGTATAGGACTGCCTTCGGTTAGTCCTTCAAGACTCCCTGGTTGGAGTCCGAGAGATGGTGCAACACAGTGGCTAGAAACGTTATCAGATATGGCTCAGAATAGAAGACAGTGGCGATCCTGCTGTAACCTTCTTTTACTTTCTTCATAAAGAGTGGTTATTACTTTCTTAACTGAAAGAGTCTTCTGGTTGTACATTTCTGTTTCCCCCATTAAAACTCTTATTGTTTCACTAACATACGCACTGTGGTTCTTATTGTTCCCTCTTTTTTCTTATATGCACCTTACCTTTTTTTCTCTTCCCATTCTCATTGTTTTGTATGGCGTATATTTATCTGATGCTCCCTTGTACCAATATTTGTGTTTAAATAAATAAATAAACAATTATCTTTGCCATGTTTCCATAAATTTCTTATTAGGAAGGTATGAATTATGGAATAAGCTATGCAGGGAGAAAGATAGAGTGCGTGTGTATGAGGTAGTGAGTGGATGGACAATAACAAGGAATGTTGATCAGTTTGATATCATCGATCGGATTTTGTATGGTAATGCACAAATTGACTATACCATCAACATTTTATATCTAATCTAAATATAAACTATCAGAAGAAATAAATTCATTTTGTATTGCTTGTTTGAATCTTCACATCGATTTGTTAGGACTGCAACTGGTCAGTCTCCAATTGGCATACGTGCACACTGTGCTTATTGCCTCGATATAGCCTTAATTCACAAGCATGGTAAGCAAAGATGGATAGTGGCTAGCAGTGGAATCCGGTTTGACGCGTTTCGTTCTATTTAGGACTCATCAGCTGGATGTACCTGCATCTCAGAGTTGATGTTCACTCTGGGACTCGAACCCAGTACCTTCGCTTCAAACGCCATCGCGTTATGCAGGTACATCCAGCTGACGAGTCCCAAATACGACGAAACGTGCGTCCTGGATTCCACTGGTAGCCACTATCCATCTCTGCTTACCATACAGTGAACAGTTAATTTGCAAAATAACCATCAATTGTCTCAATCTTGATTGTCTCTTCTGTCAATCTTCTCTGATCTAATTGTTCATGCATTTTCGTACCGATTGCGCTTCATTCCTGTTCGTTTCTTCTCGATCTTCTGCCAAAATACATTCTATGCCTGACCCTCACCATATACTACTTATATGGATATAAGTAACCCATACCACAGTATCACAAACTGAGAGTTATAAAATATAACTTATTATATTTATGATAATTGTCATAAGATAAAATGATTATTTATATCTTGTTAGTGATCAATAGTTGAAGATAGATATTTCCAACTAAACTAAATATAACAAACTATTTTATTATACTTACTAATTGTTTAATAGTTGTGACCATGAATCCTTCTTCTGATCTAGTCTAGTTCACGATTGAACAATTTGATAATTGTGTCGAATGTACCATATATGATCAAATGTCTAGTACAAAGAGTTTGGATAATACAATTATTTTCATAAAATATTGTATATGATCATAGTTGGTGAATACTGAGAATTGTGACAGTTCGATATACGAATGGCTTTGAAACCAATAACTTTAAAGAGATGAAAGATCCTCAGGTCGACTTATGTTTAGTTCTTACTTCTGATAAAACTGTATCGATTGTGTTATAAAATGTTATCATGAAATCAAACGGCAATCTATGTTGTGTATTGATGAGATGTTTGAAAAGAAAATGTCATAAACTGAAGGTAGCCAAACTGATTCCGACCCGAATATGTTAGTGGTAAATTTATATAAGCGAATAAACAACGTCTCAATATATATGTCATACTTACAACAGATTTATTATTGTCGTCTTCAAACATATTGTGATCTGTCTACAATAGGATATAAGACACAGAATTACAGTTTAGAGGCTAAAGTGTGGAGTATGGGGCTACTCAGAAGTGTACATCCACGACCCTTCCCACGGGATTCGAACCCAGGACTTATCGGTCTCGCGCATGAACGCTTAACCTCTAGATCACTGAGCTGACATTCAACGGTGCTAATGTTTAACTTCAACAAATTCACGAAATTAAGCCACCGTCCACCATTGTCTTGAGTTACCATGTCATAACAGACATGGTTGAACTCCACTGGTCACGGCTTCTCACCTACAATTCCAGGAGTCCCATACTAGGACGAAACAACCATTCAGTGCTTCCAGGTTTTCCATGATGGTCTAACTTCAATTGACTCATGATTTCAACTATATAAAATTACTAAAATCTTCACAAAACCCCCCTTCTAATATATAGAATACGTCTAGGATCATCAGTTCCCTCAAGATTACCAAGTACACCTTGCTGACAAGTGCGAAATAGCAAGAAACCAAGTACAAGGTTTCCTGTTGATTATCTCCAACCACCATCATCTTAATCCTTTTGTTTGAATAATAAACATATCAACACACTCATTGAATTTAAACAACAACAAAAAAACGTTCAAATAATGACATAAAATGAATAAAATGTCATTTATTGAAGTATATAAATATATTCATGTAAATATACAAGGTTAATTTACAGTTATCAATAAGAAATAAATATAAACCAAACATGAGATGATGATGATGATGATGGAAATTAATTAACTAAAACATAACACATTTCCATTCCTTTTCAATAGTTCATAATAAACAAAAATTCATCATAGGACAAGATGAAGAATAAGAAATGGTAACTATGATCAACTAAAAAGGGAGGGGGGAGAAATAAAAGATATAGGGGGTTAATAGTTTCATGCAAATAAACATAAATATTAATACTGAAGATAATCAAAAAGTAATTATCAACATTGTGAAATAGGATTAGATTTTGATGTTATATCATTTGTCATTGTATTTGTTGTTTTCATTGATGCTTGTGCTGTTTTCTCTGCAATTGCATCTAATAATGGTTGACGTTTATGACGATAACGTACAGCTAAATTTCTTAATTCTGTTTCTAAATCATTTGTTAAAGAGATAAGTAATTGTTCTAATTCTGTATAAGATAAACGATTTAAAGAACCTGGTTCATTAGTTAATCCATTTGGATATAGACCAGATTGTTGAATAGCACGAGAAAATGGTGCAAATGGTCTTTGTATAAATGGTTGAGCATGACCAATACCACCGCCAACATTTATATCATTATTTATATCATTTGATCGTTGTTCCGAACTGAAATTAAATATGAAATATAGACATAGAAAGAGAGGATAAATTAATTGAATTAAATTACTGAAAACTTGGATACCACATATAACAGTGAAATATTATAAGCAAAGATGGATTATGACTAGTAGTGGAATCCAGTTTGACGCGCGTTTCGTCCTATTTGGGACTCATCAGCTGGATGTACCTGCATCTCAGAGTTGACGCCCACCCTCGGACTCGAACCCAGCACCTTTCGCTTCAAACGCAATCGCGTTATCCACTCGGCCACCGAGTCCTGATAGGCACTTGCTTGTACGATGAGGTGAAGTTTAAATTTCTTTAGTATTGTTTGTTTAAATCTTCCCATCGATGTGTTAGGACTGCAACAGAGTAAACATCAACTCTGAGATGCAGATACATCCAGCTGACGAGTCCCAAATAGGACGAAACGAGCGTCAAACTGGATTCCACTGCTAGCCACTATCCATCTTTGCTTACCATGCTTGTGAATTAAGGATACATCGAGGCAGCAATACGCACAGTATGCACATATGCCAATTAGAGACTGACCAGTTTCAGTCCTAACACATCGATGATAAGATTTAAACAAACAATACTAAATGAATTTAAGTGAAATATTATGTTCTAACTACATTACTTATGAGTAATTGAAAATTCATTGAACAATTTTCTTGATGGAATTTATTTGCTTGTTTGGAACTCCACTGAGTAGTATATTTGAATGAAACTGGCAAACGATAAACAGTACAGTCTTGTTGTAAATAAATAGGTGTTGGCAATTAGCCCGTATTTTTTGATCCACACTAAATTAGTGTGCAGTGAAATGTTATGTCGAGGTTGTCACAACTGTCAGACAGAGAGATGAGTTTCAGTACATCAAAAGTATGGTGAAGTCAGAACACACCGCAAGATGCAAATGGATGATCGAAGGCTATGTATACGTAATATGTGAATCCGTTGCAAGTCGAATAAAGAATCCTATTGCCCATTGCATTGTCCTACACTGATACAATTCTGTTAATCAACGGGTAAGATACCAAATGTTCTAAATGACCTGATATAGTACTATAGATGGCAAATATTAAGAAATATATTCCATCATTTCCACATCCTGTTTTCCATCAAGCGTCATTTCACTGTAGTAACAAACACTCATTCTATCCGTTTATACTGTTGTTACGATGGTTTGAGTCATTATTCAACCTATTAAAAAATACATGAGTTCTTTGTCTATCATATTGTTTATTATCCCTCCCCTCCAGTCAGTCAGTCACAACGTAGAACTTCGTACGTACCTACATCAGTTCGAGTTGCCATACCACATTAGCACAGAGATGCAGTTGTCGATTCAAATCCCATAGTGGTAGAAGTAGTAGGAGTATAATCAGAAATCCAAAAGATTAGGGTTTGAAGAAATTATTGAAGGAGTATAGTACAGTGAAATAAATTTGGAAAGAGAAAAAGATAAAGACATGAGGAATTCAGAAGATTAGAATTTGGTAGAACACTAAGAGTGAATACAACTTCGCCATTGAAAACGATTTTGAGCCATGTCATTCAAGGTCTCTAACCATCGGTTGCTGTCATCTCGCGAATCCCAACCAGGTAGTCTACACCTACCAACATGGCCCAGTCCACTTGTCAGTGACTTCATTGATTTGTGCCACGTTTTGGTCTGGCCGCCCCTAGCTTTCTTCAAACCTACTCCTACACCATGAAACATTGCACGTCGGGGCAGTCGGTGGTCCGGCATACGTAACACATGTCCCAGCCATCTCAACTGATGAAGTTTCACTACTTCATCAATCGATTTGCCATCCCTACCTAGTACTCGTTTCCTAACAACTGCATTACTTACCCGGTGGTCCCAGGATATACGAGCAATGCTTCGAAGACACCTATGATCGAACACTAGTAGCCTACGAATATCCTCTACTCTTATTGGCCATGTTTCACTGCCATAAAGTAGGACGGAGCGAACTGCTGCACAGTAAACCCGTCCTTTGGTTGCTAGACGGATATCTCACCTATGCCATAAATGACGCAAGTTGACGAAAGCTAGACGAGCCTTCTGTATCCGTGCTGAGATTTCGTCACATACCAGACCACAAGGGCTGATGAGACTCCCAAGATAAGTGAAGTGGTCTACACGCTCAACTACTTCACTCCCTATCAATCCCTCCCCTTATTTTGATGTGTGTCGCGGTGACTTGAACTGATACAATGGCCTAAGTTTATTATGGATTATAGAGGCCGAACAATGGTTTCAACTAGGTCCGATTACCCAAAGATAAATCAATATGATGTTTGGCTTCAATAAAGTGAGAGTAAACCTTAATTTTAGAGTGTTTTGATGTTGAAGCGAATCTTTGACGTTGGTGGGCTATTTCACAAACAAACAAACTAGCTGAAAAAAATAATAGACGGATTGTGGCTAGGAGTGAAAAGCAGTACATGAGTTTCGTTCATTATCTAACCCGCCAGCTCGAAATCCTCGCATCCCAGTAATGGAAACCTTAGAACTAGGACTCAGTACTTTTTGCTGCAAATGCCAACGCGTAGTTTACTGAGCAACTAGTCAAAGACATTCACTAATTTGTTCAAGGGTTATATCGAGGTAATCCACACAAGACAAATATATGCCAAAAAGGTTTGATCAACATTCAGTCATGAATACTAAGAACGAGATAATTCAATGGTTTACTCCTGATCATATGAAAATAAGTGACTTACCCGATATTATTTGCCATTTTTACGGCCTTATCAATTCTTCTAGTTAGTGTACCTTCAGTGGCTACAGCAGGGGGCAGAGCAGCATCTAATAATTCGAAAGCTTCACGTTGATCGCGTTCTGCATCATCTAATCCATCTGATGAACCACCAGTCGTATCATGTACCACGACAGAACCACTATCTTCTTCACTTTCCCCGTCATCATTGACAACCATTGTGTCAAGATTACCGAAAGATATATAAGGATTATTGACATTTGTTTCATCATCATGATGACGTATAAAACTGCCATTGTCATCATCATCATCATCGTCATCACCACCATCATTATGATGATCTGTGCGATCTTCGTTTGAGCATAATGAAACTAAAGTTGCCGCACCATCAATATCCAAACTGATATTTGGAAGTAAGATTAAAGGAATGGTGATTAATGAAACGATAAAATAATGTCTTTACT